GCACCACTTACGAGCGCGCGCATCGCGTGGAAAGTCGGGAGATATAATGCGTTTTTCTGATTTCGCCCGAATACACGCACACTCGCACACACACACACACACACACACACACGCACGCACGCAATGCGCGGCTCGCAATGCTCGGCTGTGGTGGTAGCGGCGGGCGGTCTGCTGCAGACCCCTCTCTCGCCTTCCTCCCCCCCTCGCTTCACGGCCGCACCGCGGTGCATCCGAGTGCCGCCACCTCCCCTTCGCCCCGTCGCGCCTCCTCGCGCCGCCCGGCGGCGGCGGCGGCGGCGGAGTCGTGATGATTAATTAAGCTTTCCGAGAAAACGCAACAAGTGAAACGTTATTAGTGCTTAGTGGCACACTTTACTCGGATCAGTGGCAGTTGGGGTCTCTCCCCTTCGCTTCCACCTCGCTCCCCTTGCCCCTCCCCGGGTGTGTTCAGCTGGATCGGGTACGCACTTCCTGCTCGCGCGGGGCGCCTTCGTACACACCTACGCTCTCAACTCTCGGCCATTCGCGCCATTCGGAACGGTGTTTCTTGATCGGGAATCGATTCTTGACGAATCGATTGTGTCGATTGATCGATCGAGTGCGACACTTGGACGATAATCAGAGGAACCCGGGGGAGCACGGGACTCCTTCGAGGACTTTCGCGTCGGCGCGGAGTCGCGCGTACCCGAACACCGGGGAGAGTTAACCCTTTAAGCTGTTTTATTCCTTTGTGGACGAATGCCGCCGGCAAACAAGTGAGAGACGCCGATGCGAAGTTTAAAGGCTATCGCGCACAAAATTACATATATTACAGCGTAAATGTACATGCATAATATAAACTCGCCTCGACCAATGAGCACTTAGAAAGAAATTGCCATGTTGATTTACAGACATAACATAACCTAACTTTTTCCTAGACGCTCATTGGTCCGTATGATCTGCTATGCATGTGTACCTACGTCATTTTGTGTGCAATGGCCCTAAATTTTTAACGTATTATCTTGTTGTACAGAAAATATCTGTACAGAAAATAAATAAAAAGTGTCATATAGAAAATATGCTCGACCTACCGGAAATCAGTGGAGAAAATACTCGTCCGCAAGAAGTTAACGACGACGGAAAAATTTGCGGAAAAAAAATAATGAAATTATGAAAAGTTACAAATAACAATAAAATTGCGAAGAATTCGAAAATGTCGCGTTATATATCTGAAATCTTAAATATCGTTTCTATGAAAATAACAATTCCGCTAGGAAGGGTTAGTTTCGTGAAATTTGCTTCTTTGGTCTTTAGGTCGGTTAGGCTTGAGGAAAAAGGGAGGCAAGTTTTGGTTGCGAATTTTGCTTGGAAATTTGCATGAAAAGAAGATTCTTTTTTTCGGTGTAATAGCGTTACCGAATATTCGGCTGGAAAGTCGCAAATTACGAAATTACGGACACTGAATCAGAGAATAATACGAAACGCGACGGAAAGTAACGAATCACACATGATGGCGGCGTATATTTTTCCTCCCGCGGATACTTCCGTCATTAACAGCTAAAAGGCCTCATAAACTCGGGATTAACGAAGCGAGCGAATTCTGCGAGGAATCTTGACTCTCAGACGATTTTCCGCGGTTTCTGTCCGTTTCGTCGGCGAGAAACATTCGGCCGCGTCTCGACGATTAAGAGTAATTCATATGGCGCTGCTTTTACTCGCTCTGAATAAAACTTTTAATTCGCCAGCGAATTCGCTGATAGAAATTTTTTCTAGACTTCTAATTTTCATTCGCTAGCGTCTAAAATTTAGCGGACTCTAAATTTTAATGGTCAACGTTGTGTCCAACTTTGTCGCAGCGACTGCTGGACATCGCATTCTCTCGATTTTACACGCTGGTGAATACAAATCAAACGTCTAAAAGAAATTTTCACCAGTGGATTCTCAATTTTAGACGCTAGCGAATAAAAATATATTATCCAGAGAAAACTTTCACTGACGAATTAGAAAGTTCGTTCAAAGCGAATACAAAAGCAGCACCGTGTGAAGCACCCTTTAGGCAGCGCAATTAGTTCCTCCCCCGTTTCCCTTCTTCTTTCCATTGACTCACTGACTAGCTCCATGTCTCTCGTGTTGAATCGTGTGTGAAAGAGAGAGGGGAAGGGGGAGAGGGAGAGAGAGAGATTTGTTCAACATGATCAATCCCGCATCGCGAGCGTCCGATCGCGATCCGCAGCGCCTGGTGACGTCCAACTCGACGCGCATCAAAGCGTGTCGCCTCATCTGCATCTCGCATCCGCTGCTCTCTCTCTCTCTCTCTTTCTCTCCGTGTCTTCTCGAAAGTTCGCCCGTTTTTCCATCGCTTCTACGGAGAAATGATACGGCGGCAACCGTTTACGCGCATCAGAGCGCATCTGCCTGTTAGGCGCGCGGTCCATCATCGCCGTGGGCGGTTTTCTATTCGCTCTCTCTCTCTCTCTCTCTCTCCCTCGCTCTCGCTCTCGCTGTTTACTTGCCCGGCGGGCGCCGTTGAAGCTCACGCTTGTGATTATAAATAATTAGCGGGGAGAAGCGACAAACAAAACGCGCGCGCCGGGCGGTCGCGATTCACACGCACGCACGCACGCACGCACGCACGCACGCACGCGGGGTCAGTTTACGCGCTTCTTGCGTGTCGCATAGTTCGTGGCGCTGTCAGATCGTCGAAATGCGCCACGCGATTGGGCAGCAGAGTCATCTCGGCGCTCGCTTGGATCCGACGGTGTTCGATTATTCGGATAAATAACGGATAAATAAAGACGACGCCGCGCGGCTTCGCTGTGATCTAGAGAAAATTATGCGCGCGGGTAAAATTGCGGCGGCCAGTTATTTTTAGCTCGACGATGTGAATATATATTATCTTCATTTGCATCTTAAATGTTATCTCCATGGGGTTATCTACGATGATGTTCGCGGATAATTTGGTCTACAGCGAGAACATATATATTTACCGAGGCTCTCTTATTCATCTTTTTACGCAGACTCCTGCGACTTTTCCGGAGTGGAGTTCAGGTTAGTTAGAATTCAACCCCGCGTCTGTGTGCATTCGAGTGATAATTATCTCGGCCAGTTTCTTCAGCAAATTGATCCGTTTCTCCCTTTAATTCAGACGAAAATCCCGTCTCGAATTTGTCGCCTCGAAATCGCGCTCTTTTCTCTCTCTCTCTCTCTCTCTCAAGAGAAAGATAGAAGAGAGACAGACTATTAACGCGACTTCTGATTGAATGCTACTTTTCTGCTTTCTGCTTTTTTTCCCGAAATGTAAATCCTCCCTAAGGGAAGATTCACATCTGCCTAAGAGAGGATTCACACTTGGGGAATCTTCCCTACGGAGAATCCTTCTTACCTCGCAGGAAGCGCGTAGGGACTCTCTCTCTCTCTCTCTCTTTTGAGAGAGAAAAGGAAAGAGAGAGAGAGAGAGAGAGAGAGAAAAGAGAGATAAACTATCAGCGCGACCTCCGATTGGTTTCTGTTTTTCCCCCAAGTATGAATCCTCCTTAAGGGAAGATTCATACCTCCCTAAGAAAGGATTCACACTTGGGAAATCCTCCCTAAGGAGAATCCTTCCGTCTAAATGTTTGCACCCCCGACAGGCAGAGGTCCAGCCTTTTCTCCCGGACCATTCGATGGCGCAATACCGTGACGTATAGCGTAATAGCACGCAATTAGCGTGACGAATCGAGCCGCGGCGCGGCGCTCCGCGAGCACCTAGACTCGCGAAGGCGCAACCGACGCAGGCGGGAGCGAGCGATTACGGGGATGCACGCGGCGTGCAATCGTTATCCCGCCAAGTAACGGATGCTGAGATTGCATGTCGAGCGATCTCGGGCGATCTCGAGGAGGCGGGCTGAAGCGAGAGCGACTAGCCGCTGAAACAAAAATTGGGACGTGCGTGTGGTGTTGTCCAATGAAGCCGCGATAAGGCGACGCGAATCGACTCCATCGATCGCCGAGATCTCTATACGCACGCAGGCCGAGCTGCGCGCGGTCAAGCCTGCACGATGATTACGCCAACGGAAGCGACATGTGTCCGAGGCTTGTCAACGAGAAATACATTTTCTGCCTTCGGGCTAGGCCACGCTACACTTGAACTATTAAGGGTGATTTAGACGGTGCGCCTTTTACTCGCTCTGCGCGAGCTTCTTAATACCCGTATTCATAGTCCTTCCTTGAGAAATAAGGACTCCTTACGTACAGATACATAAAAATATATATAATTTTAATAAGATTTATTTTCATTTGATGGAAAAATGCCGGATTATTCCAGAATTCATCTTAATCATTATTGATGCAATCATTCTTCCTACCACCCCCAAGAATGTTTTTCGCACCCCAGTTGGGAACCCCCGTTCTAGACAATAGATCTTTATTCGCTAGCCTCTAAAATTTAGAATTCGCTGGTAAAAACTTCTGGCAGACGCTTGATCTTTATTCGCTAGCGTCTAAAATTTAGAAGACGCAACATTTAGTGGTCGCTGCGACAAAGTTGGGCACGTTCAACTTTGAACAGTGGCCGATAAGCCGACCTCTGTGAATATTTCATACGTGTTACATACGTACTCACTCTTCTGTCGCTGGTCGAAAGGGCTCCAGGAGAAGAACACCCTGCGCCTTTGTTTTTCCTCACACGGCTAATTTACTCGCGCTGGAGATATGCGCGTTGGTGCCCTTCACGAAGAGGATTTATTATCGCTCGCATTATCGGCCTTAATCCAGCAGCGTTATCGCCGCACATTTCGTAGAGAAAGAGATGTGCGCATTAGTCGTCCAATAAAGATTAAGATCACATTCTTGAAATTTCTAAGCCAATGAGAGAGGGGAGATGATTACCGCAGGCGCGATAAAGCAGCAATTGCTCTCGCCACAGCGCGAACGGTTTTCGGTCACGAAAGTGCGTGAATTGCGGCTCATCGCGCCCGTCGATCATCATCGTGTTGGTTACAATGGATGGTTACAATTATGCCTGCTCTCTATCTCTGTTTCAGATCGATTCTAGTCTTGACGATGCTTAGCGCCGCCGGTGTCTCGTCCTCCTACATGCCCGAGAAGTATCCCGTGGAAGTAAGTCTTCGTTTGTTAGTCTACGAATATTGCAGCTCAATTGTTGGCTGCCTTGGATGTCTCCGAGCAGTGAAGAGATTAAATTAAAAAAAAAATTATTTATTGAAAATTCATTTATCATAAATTATCTAATCTATTGAAAATTTATTATATTTGGTTTGGCTACCGTCGAATTTGCAAAAAATTACCCCTTGCAGCTTCTGCCTGACGTCGTCGTCGCTTGCAATTTTCAGGATTGGGAAGTAACTCGTTACTTGTAACGAAGTTATAATTACGAAGTTATTTTTTTTTTGATAACTATAACTTTACTTCGTTCCGCTTTTTTCCATCTGTAACTGTAACTGTAATACTTAATTTAGTTACATTTGTTTGATAACTAGTAACTAATTTAATAGTTACTTTAATAATTACTTTATCTATTTCAAACTTAAGTTTCTGGTAGATCAGCGTGATAATGCGATGTGCGATGTTTGATATCCAATAAGCATATAAGTTATTCTGCATTTGGAAAACGTGCTATTGCGTCATCTATCTTTATCGTTCATTAGATGTAAAATAAGGATAAAATGGCGCAACAGCGCTGACAGTCTCCTCTCCGAACGCAACCTGTATTTCTTTCAAAAAAATTGTACGCCTATTGGACATTTCCGTCGCACGTCGCCAATCCTTATTCGTTAACATAACCTGCGTTCAGCGTGAACTGCGCTGCGTGGTTTCAGTTAAATAAAAAATTCAAGCAATGGATAAAACATTTCAATCTTCGGAGAAGGAAATGCCATGGCCAGCATATGCAGAAATATTTGAGTTATAACAAAAATTTGGAAATGAGACCAACTGGGCATTTCTCTGCAAAATATGCGCTGGCAAAAAAATTATTCATGCAAGTAGAACTTCAACTGCAAATTTAAGAAAACATACGAGTGTAAGTCTTTATTTATAAAATATCAATATATTTTTTAGTGAAAAAATCTAATTTCTGATGATTTAAGATTACTTTTAGTATTTATTATCCTCATCAAATTCATTCACTTTCTTACGATTGTTATTAGTAGTCTTAAAGAATAAATATGAATTACTTATTTAAATTAATGAATCTAATTTGCGAAAATTATATACAATATGAGGAATGTAATAATCTACAAACTTTTATAATTAACAAACTTTTAGTAGTCAACAGACTACTTTTATGTAAAATTGAAGGAATTTACGCGATTGCGAAATTTAAAACAATAGCACAATTATTGTAAAAGAGTTATTGTGAAAAGTAACGACTCGTTACTTTCTAAATAACTATAACAGTATCATGTTATTCTTGACGGTCAGTAACTTCAGTCACTGTGAACTTTCAGCTACTTTTTCACTCGAAACTTTTTCAGTGAGAAAAGAAACTGTAACGGTAACTAGATACTATTACAAAATAACTTTCTCAACCCTTAGTGACTTTAATGCGTCATAAATCGCCTGAGTTTCCTGCGCGACGTCTGTCTGTAAGAAGGGTCCCAATATAAAATAGTCTCGCTGCGAAATCTTAGTGCAAGTCCCAAGAATCTTGATACAAGGTATCAAACACGTTCGTCTCACTGAGCGAGGAGTCGCGGAAGATAAACGACTTGATCCGCGGCGGAGCTAAAGCGGCGGGCGCTGCGAGAAGTCGCCGCGCGTTATATCGCGTCCATTTGCACCGAACGTTTGCCGCGTTTGTAGCAATGAAACGCCAACAAATAATCACGCTCGCGACAAGCTCGGACCGCTCTCCCGGCTATCGCGGCGATCTCTCTCTCTCTCTCTCTCTCTCTCACACACACACACACTCACCTCTTCGGGACGAGAACGCAACGAGAAGGCTTCGTCGCGCGCGATGCATATTAATTCGAGCCACTTGCGGGAATTAATACGCAATTACGTGGCCGCTATACCGGGTGGCATGTCGAGAGGGTAATTAATTGACACCGAGAGGAGGTCCCTAAATTACACTGGCGCAGAGCGCGACGGGCAAGGCCACGCGGTGCGAGGCGCGCAAACACACAGGCGAGCTCCGCTCGCTGCTGCTGCTGCTGCGCGCCACGTGCGGCGCGGGCGCCCCGGCCCGATCGTCGTCGTCACCAGCACGTTATAATTATGCCTAAAGAGTCCGTTTGTTCTGGAAAGCGTTGCGGCATTACGACCGCCACGAAAATAGATCGGTCGCCCTAGAAAACGCGTGGACGCATTCCTGCGACTCGAGGTCACACCTGCGACCCTTATCGCCCTCCGGGCCTCCGGCCCGGCCGTCAAGGCCGCTCGCCGCCGCCGGAGTGTTTTGCTTCGCAAGCAAGTATTTCCGGACGTGTTTCGGACGTGTTTCGGACGCGTCGCCGGAGCCCCTGTCTCGATTCCACGAAAGAGGCGGTATGTCGTTTCGGGGTATACCTGTGAGGCTTATTATTATTAACGAGTGGACTATCAGGGAATTTTGCCAAAAGAGTCTTGCTCCGTGTGTATGATAATATTTTTTACATAAGAAAATTTTCTCATTCACGAAGTAAATATTTTTGTCCCGGAAAATGACGCGAAAAACATTGGGCTAATAATGATGTTGTCGTGTCTACTGAAACTCATCAATCTGAAATATTTAAATTACTTTTTAATAAATTAAATAATTAATTTTTAAGTTGGAATAGGCTATCAGGAAATTTTGATAGGGGAGTTCTACTTCATATGTATTAGGATATTTTTACGTAAGAAAATTCCCTGAATCGCAGAGTGAATATATAAATATTGTTGTCGCACAAGAAGTTCACCAATCTGGAATTTTTAAATTATTTTTTGATAAGTTAAGTAAATTAATTTTTACGTTGCAGTAGATTATAGGATTTCGCCAAGAGAGTATTGCTTTGTATGACAATATTTGTTATATGAGAAAATTTTCCTATTCGAAGTAAATATTTTGTCCCGAAAAATGACACGGAAAATAATTGGATTAATGAGGATGTCGTTGTATCTATTAAAGCTCACGAATCAGGAACTTTTAATTACTTTTTCATAAATTAAATTAATTAATTTTTAAGTTAGAATAGGCTATGAAGGAATTTTGCTTCGCTGCAACTTAACGATATTTTTTACACCAAAAACTTTCTGAATCATGAAATGAGCATGTAGATATTTTTGTGTTGAAAAGTGATGCCGAAAAAATCGGGCTAACAACGATATCGTTTCTAGGTGATTTCCTAATTCATTAAGTTTTTAAATTTTTAAAGTGAGGACTTCTGGAGAATCTGCGAAATTCGAGAATGGCGCGATTAAAATCGACGGCGTGATTGTCCTTCGGGATATTAATTTCTTGAATCTTTCGCGAGTCACCCTGTATACCATGAAGCAGCGACTCGTTCGGTGCAAGGTATCGTTGCCCGGCACAAATTTCCCCTCGATAACGTCACATTGTTCGGTGCATTATACACAAACGTCTTTAAAAGCGCAGTATGTATACCCGTCGCGGAGTACGTATATCCTTCTTTGTGCACGGCTGTACCGTATAAGCGCTGTGATTAACGTTCCGGAGTTAATGCCGGGCATTAAGGAAGTATTAGCCCGCCGCTCTCGAGGTTAACGACTTGCAAAAAGGCGGCTAAAAGCTCCCGCTAGAGCTCCAAATTCGTACTTTCTCACAGAGTGACGTATAGTGTTCGCGAAAAAATTAACCGCTTACGTCCCATTCTTCCTTTCTCTCTCTCTCTCTCTCTCTCTCTCTCTCTCTCTCTCTCTCTTTCGTCTGGAAATTTATGTTGCGTTGGGAGATCAGGTCAAACGGAGGGGAAGGGATTTTATTTTCATCACATTGCTATCACACTATCTGTACAATTCTTTGCTATGTCGTAGCCAGGTACTTGGACGATGTTTAAATTAGCTAGATAAAGATAAAATGAAATATGCAAATTCCACGACGTAAAAACAAATATTTTTACATTTTGCACATTTGTGGCAACATAGACTAAATTATCTGTGAGCGTCACGTTAGACAATCTTTTGAAAATAATTCTTTTTCTCAATTTAAAATATATTATCTAGAGATAAGTCAGTGCCAGGACTTTATCTGAATCTGACCATCTATATATAATTTTCTTTAGACAAAAGCAAACAATATCTTACACATTTGCAGCAATATTTTGATTGAATTATCTATGCGCGTCATCTTAAAAAATAATTTTGGGAAGACATTTTTCAATTTAATATACGGACAAAGATAAAATGTATACACATATATACATCGTCTAAATAATTCCAAGTTGCTGGCGACAAGTTTATCCGGGCGATTATCTGTATACTTTTATCTAGATAAAAGCGAGCGCTGTTCCTGGTAAAAATATATGGAATGAGTACCCACACACATAGTGTGTGAATTCACAAGTATGATTCTCGTGGCACTCGTACGCCATATTGCATCCGCCATTTTGCAAAATTGAAAACTGAGCACAAAGATTCGTGCTCAGCGACTTCAAAAACATAAGAAATGCCCACTCACACATATAAATCGCAATGAAGTATGATTTTCGCATATTTGGACGCCATATTGCATCCGCCATCTTGAATCAGTTGAAGAATAGAATCAACAATCATTGTTTATTCCCCGAGTAGCCAAACTCTGTCAATTTAATTGTCCCTGATAGCTCTCGACAAAATTTTTCGAAATTCTCCACAGTAAAAAGTTCATAGTCGATGAAAACATTCTTTTCAACTTTGAGCCGCCATATATAATTATCAGTTGATCATTCCAAAATTATGACTCCAGATTCTGAAAGATCAGGTTTTTCTACTATGAGAAAGCATATTTTGTTATTAGTTTTCATGTGATTTTATCACTTTTCTGAGCCAAAAACCAATCGACTATAAAATGCTCGCTTGGGAAGTAATGGGTTTAAGAGGCCGTTAAGGATCGGAGGAACGCTGCGACAATCCCGAGGCGGCAGTCGAGCCGGCGGAATCGGCGATTTGTATTCCGGACGCGAGATATTACGCGAGCGGCTCGCGTAAAGACGAGAGAGAGAGAGAGAGAGAGAGAGAGAGAGAGAGAGAGAGAGAGAGTACGCGACTCGTCCGTTTGATTAATTGGACGACTGGCGGTAGGCAGGAGGAGGCGATCGGATGTGAGGCGGCGCGAGCCCTCGAAGGGGATGCCCTCGCGTGAGAATCCGCGGCCCTTCTTCCCGCGGGACGATACCCCCTCGGCGAGCTTCCGGCAGAAGTTAATTCCACGGACAGCCCGCGGCGCGCGGAGATGGATCGAGCGCCGTAAATCCAGCGCGTAGGTACTGCGCGTGTGCGATACGTCGATCGATCTGCCATTTAATTAATCACGACAAGAGAGCCCCGATACCCGAAGAGGGAGGAAGAGCGAGAGAGAGAGAGAGAGAGAGAGAGAGAGAGAGAGAGCGAGCGATATCAAAACGCACCGAAATGCGCCGTGGCCGCGTGGTCTAATTGGAATCTCGTTCGCGCGGTAGCGAGATATTAATTACCGAACAAACAGTCTGTGCCCGATGATGCCGGCGCGTGATTAACCGGAGTAGAAATAGCGGACGGCGGTATTATCAGCCTCATCGCTTAATTACCGGCTAGGTACTAGACCTCGTCTCGGCACTTCGTTTTTCCACCGTGGAAACCATCATCGCTCTCTCGCCGTGCTCGCGCGCGAAGTGCCCGCGATACGGACGAGGGGACGATAACCGGGCACTGAAATAAAATCCAGATAAGCCGAGAGACGTGGTCGTGATGTTGTGTCGAATTGCGTCGAAAGCAGTTCGAACAGCGTCGTTGAGTGGGCGGACTCGGGAGAGCGCGCGCGCAGAGGGAAGTATATCGTTCCATTTCGCCGAGACGGGAGAGGTTTCTTGCTTCCCTCCTGCGGCCAGATGATCCCCTCCGGATGATGGTCGTTCGAATTTACTCGCTCGAAGTTTTAGAGAGAGGCTCGTCGTTGTGTACTCGAGCGAGCAATTCGCTCTCATCTCCCGCACGAGGATGTCATAAAATTTGCACTCTATAGGAGGCAGATAGAAGCCTCGTTTTCATTTAATACTCTTTTGCTTTTTGATTTAATAACCCTGGATTAGATCGATATTCCCTACTGAAGTACCAGACTTTACCAAGGCTCAGAATTCATACTTTGAGCAGATCTGACGTTTATGGCGGTAGATCCTAGATTATTAACAGATATTAGAAATATGATTTAGTTTGATTTTGAAGGGTTTTTTTTTTTTCAAAAATTGATTTACTTAAATAAGATAACGAACGAATATCTGAATCAGAATGTTTTCCTTCGTTTTCTATAACATTTCCCATCTTTCTGGAGATGGATTTCGCGACGATAAAAAGATTTTTCCTTGGAGTTGATCCAATTTTCAAGAAATTTTCGCACTTGTTCCAAGTTATGAAAGTGTATATCTTCTAGAGCAGGATTTCCTAACCTTTTTTGTATTTCGCACCCCTAAAAATTTATTAATGATCTTCCCACCCCTTATAAAAAAAATTATTCATACGTTTTATAGCAAAAATTAGTTGTTAGGATTTCAAGGTAAGAAGTTGATTTATAACAATTTATTATTACATGGTATTGTTTTACAGAAATTAGCTATCATTTTAATTTTATAAAATTATTATCCATAGTATCAAGCTCCGCATAGTGATAGGTAATGAATATATACGTACAGATTCGTAAAAAATATATAATTTTAATAACATTTTTTTTCAATTTGATAGTAAAAATGCCGGATTATTGCAGAATTCATCTTAATCATTATTAATCACTTTTCCTCGCAGCCCCAAGAATGTTTTTTCGCACCCCTAGAGAGTGGTGCGAGCATTCCCGGTTGGGAACCACTGCTCTAGAGCATGTTGCATCGACCGGAACAAGTGATAATTGGATGGAGCAACGTCTGGAGAATACGCGGGGTGCGGAAAGACTTCCCATTCTAGTTCGAATAGCGTTTGCTTCACTGATAATATAACACGAGGTCGAGCATCGACGTGAAGAAGGATCACTTTGCGTCGTTTGCTCGCGATTAGTGATCGTTTTTGGTCCAATGCTCGCTTCAATTTGTATAATTGTTGTCGATAACGATCAGGGACGGTGACAGTTTTATTTGGATTTAACAGTTCATAGTACTTAACATCTTCTTGATCCCACCAAATACACAACAATACCTTCGAACCGTGAATATTGCGCCTCGAAACGGATGTTGTTGGTTAGCCTGGATCAACCCGTGATTTTTTTCGTTTAGGATTATCGAAATAGATCCGTTCTTCGTCCCCACTAACAATTCGATACAAAAAACTCTTCATCTTCGTCTGACGATCAACGAAATGCAAATGTTCAACCGGCTCGCAGTTTTCCGCAGATAATTGGTGTGGAACCTATTTTCCTTCTTTGTAAATCTTTCTCATATCATATAAACGTTTAGTAACATTACACGATCAACATTTAATGTTCTGGCAAGTTCTGAAATGGATCGTGCTGGATTCTCGTCCAATAATATTTGCAAATCTGCATTTTCAAGCTTTTCTGGTTGTCCCGAGCGATTTTTGTCGTTAACATTGAAATCACCACTTTTGAATCGTCCAAACTAATATTCACATGTCTCAATTGATGGAACAACATCACCGTAAGTTTCTAAAAGTTTCAGAATTCTATGACCTTTAACCGCCATTTTCTTCCGATTAAGGAACAAAAGCAACGCGTGTCGAAGACGCTCTTTAGGAAGCTCCATTTTTAAGATGGTATTAATACGACTTTTACTGCGTCTATTGTTAGTAAACTACTAATAAAATATCATGGATTAATATTAGAGCATTAAGAAACAATAGCCGTGACTGGAATGTCTTCGGCAAAACTGACATTAATGCCATCTCTTGCGGAACCCTCGAAATCGAATTATACTCCTAATAAACTTGCGTATGAATTCTCCCGCAAGAAGTCTGATTTGCTTGAAAGTGAGATGTGCATTTCTCCGCGTGAGAAGCCGCGCCGTCTCATTGGAAAAGCCAGATTTTGCAAGACGACTGATGTGAGAGTGACGGCCTCTTTCCAGGTGTATCACATGCTGCAAGAAAGAACGCAGTTCGGGATTGGGCGTGACAATAGAGTGAGGGGCACTTGGGGCACGTGGAGCGAGTGGAGCGAGTGTTCCAGATCCTGCGGCACCGGTATCCAGTCCCAATCTAGGGAATGCGTTCCCCTACGGTGAGTTCGTTTAAATGTCGAATTCATTCAATTAATTTCACCGCCAGCGTTCCCAGCAATTATCCGTGTTTATTATCTCTGATCCTGCCGCGCGCACCCTATCGATTCGGCGCTTACAACAGCATTGTTGCTTAATCGAGTTGCATGGAGGTCGCGCGGCGAGGCGGAGATTGCTGCAAGTCCCGATATCACTTTATTTTCCAATGGGCGTTGAAACCCGTTACGAGTATGACTTTATTTTGCTCGAGGCTTGCCTCACGTGAGGTACTCGGGATTGAAAGTCAGGTCTGATCTGATAAACGATCACGTGTGCGGCGTTAGATCTGCAGGCGTAATTCGACTGAAGAGTTCACATCTGATTCTGAAATTTGAATATCAACATGACCGGAGCGCGACGAACGCGTACATCGCGTTCTCAGAACTTTTTTATTTTCAACACCCCTTTCAAGTTAGCCCGTCCTTTCACAGCACATAAATAAATTTTGAGCTACAAGTTTAGCGCGGGATAGGATGATCACCAGGCGCCACGTGGTGACGTCCAAGAGTGTCATCGCGTTCGATTAACTCTTTGCGCGCCACGGCTCGCGCTTCACCTTCGCCCCGGCGAGGCCGCCGGGCTGCGATCTCCCGCGTGAGGTCACGCCGGGGATCGGTAATCCCCGAGCGTCGCGGCTCGATCGCGAGAATGCAAAGCACCTTGCGATAATGCGCAGCCGTCTCTAACAATAATCACACGTCTCGTGGTACCGTTAGGGTCTCGCGCAATTTGGATCGTAAGCGAGGCGCTCGCTAAGCGAGTCGCTGCATTTCGCATCAACTGCGCGGAACTACGAGCTATCTGCCGATCGATGGAGATCGATGGATCGATCGCCTTCGGCTGCTGGCTGTGGATTCGTCCAGGAAAATCAGCAGAGAGAAATGTCCCCGAATGGCGACGAAGTGTTGCGACCACAGACTTCTATAGTATAACTAGAATGCATCCTTTTCTACTTGAGGCCTACCCCTACCTTAAAATTTGGAAGGACGCGCGCAGTCTAGGTATACCATGTCTATGGTCGCGACCATCGAGGCGAGTCAAACATTTATATCTTACTTTATTTAATATTATGTATAATTGAATTACGTATAATATTGAATTTTAATGAAATTACCGGAAATGGCGGCCTTCCGATGGATTTCACCGGAAACAGGAAAGTTTAAGTGCCGAAAGGGCACGACTCGCGTGACTCGCGCGCCGAGCAATCGTCCACGCGCTTGTTTCTTACCCTCCCTCCCTCCCTCCCTCCCCCCTTCCCCCCCTCCGCCCCGGGATTGATGCAACGCTCTCGGACGTTACGTGACGCTTACGCTCGTATCACGCGAGTGCAAAAAGGGCAGGGTGGAGCGTGAAGCTTGGACAATCGCGCACCAGCATATCGCGCTGGAAACGCGCTGGTTCGCGAGTCAATTCACGCGTATCGCGCGCCATTTGCGCGTTCTTTTGTCACGCGCGCCGCCGTTCGTCGGCCGTCGTACACTCGCTCGCCATCGAGAGCGTGTCTTCTCCCTCCCCCGAGAGAGAGAGAGAGAGAGAGAGAGAGAGAGTTCATCCCCGATGGAATTTCGTCATAGAGAGACCTCCGCACCCTCGCTGAAAGCGCGGTCACGCTTAAATTTCCCGATTGTTACAGTAACAATAAGCTCGCGTTGCGAGCGGCGAGCGAAAAGCCGAGTGCGCAAGTTCCGCACACCTTGTATGTCCCGCTCAGCCGACCATAAAGCAGCGTGCAAATTACGGATCAGTAGCGTAAGAAGATTATACACCGGCAGGCCGACGACTCTCGCGGGCGAGCTCCTCTCGGGGCGGGAGGGGGCGGGGGCGGGGAGGGCAGAAACGTGCTGTTATCGCCGCTGACATTTACACCTTCGTAACGCGCTACCGCGAGCCGTTACGTGACTCGCGCTAAGCAATGTATGAATCTCTCGCGACGAGTTCACATCGCATGCGAGTGAATGCTGAGTTTCTCTCTCTCTCTCTCTCTCTCTCTCTCTCTCTCTTTCTCTCCCTCCGCGGATTAGCCGTCGATATTGAATTCGGCGGCGCGATTCTGTCTCTAACGACAGCCGGACGGCTTCACGGTGGCTCTTAACGAAGGAACTTACTTAGCGGGTGAAAAATGAACGAATTCCCTCCCCCCCGTCGAATTCGTTTCACGCAGCCGGATAATCGAATGTACCTACTTGCGCAGTGCGTGCGCTCGACCGTCGCGATGCGCAGCGTCATTCGTGCGAGGCGCGAGCAAACATTGAGTAATCGTCTCCCGCTGTCACGCGAGATGAATGTACCAATTAGCGACATTTATACCGCATTATATAATATAATTAGTAGAATTACGCGCAGGGGGTGTTGGGGAAGAAAGGTTGCGAGGTAAGCTGGTGCTCATTGTGAGGAAAGTAAACATAGGTCGGAAAAATCAAGCCTGTCAGAACTACGAACGAAAGTTTATTTCACGCGAGACTCGTGAAAAGCGAACGTCTCCGTGCGTCTTTCGAATTGGCAAATTTTCAGTCTTTTTTTTTTTTTTCACGAACCACACTGCGAGAGGGAAAGATTCACGACGATGATACCTAATCATATGTACGTAATTACATTTTTGTCGGGACAACAAAATGGCATAGGTTGAGACGCTAAAGATGGCGTCTGTAATTTAGCACTATAATTTATATACTGTAATTTTAGTAGAGAGAAAAAGCTACTCGCCTCCCGGTCGCCTCCCTCATTAGGACGAGGTAATGACGCGTGCGTAAAGTGAATATAAATTGATAAATTAATAGCGCACATATTAAGCTAAATATACAGAGTTGCTTTTGCCGGAAAGCTTGATCACTTTGACCTTTAATCATGCGTAATATTTTTCTAATTTACGGAAGGATTTTCATTTACTCGTAATATTTATTTGCTTCGTATCACTTTAATTTTATCATTCTTTTTTATATTATTTTATCTTATTATCATATATTATTCTTTTTCACCATTATATTTTATCATTATATTTTATGTTATCCTTATATCCTCTCTCTCCCTCTGTTTCTTATATTATTCTTATTATCTTTTATTATATTATATTTATTATATATAAGTATATGCAAAAGTTTTAGTCTGTTTTTCAGCTCTCTGATGTAATTATTTTAAATTGAAATATTTTCTCGCCGGTATTTTCAATCAAATATTAATCTTCACAGAAACACAAAACGGCGGGAAAATACTTCAATTCAAAATAGTTACACTAAAGGGCTGAGAAAGACTAAAACTTTTGCATAAACCTAATACATCTTATATTCTATTACATTGTTATATTATGTCTGAACTATTCTCAGAGTGCTCAACGTCTCTCTCCTCTCCTCGATCTCTCGATATCGAGATCAAGGTTTACCGAGAAACGCACAGCGGTCAATGTCGAGCTAATGCGAGACGATTCGTTCCAGGAGGCTTTTGCGGCGACGGAGCATCATCTCGGAGAACGGCACCAGCAGCGTCAGGCCCATTTGCATCGGCACGTACAGGCGCTACCACACGTGCAATACTCAGGTAAACCGACGACATTCAACGTCGTTGGGGAGAAAGAAGAGGCAGACGCGCGGGAAACGCGAATCGGGAGCGAAGACGATGAGAGCGAGTAGGGATGGGCATATGATATCGAGAATATCGATATTTTTTTTTAATTTCAATAATATTTAGTAATTTAGTATAAATAATATTTAGTAATTTAGTATAAAGTTTAAGGGCCCGAGCACAGACTCTTGCATAACGCATACACAAAGTGACTTTACATAAAATGTCAAACCACAGTGAAATATCAACCGAATTCGCTCAAATTTTGAGGTTAAGTAGATGAAGGGTAGAACATTCACCTACCATCGTTCACTCATAGATATCGCTGCGCTAAGAACTTTGGCGGAACCAGTCTCATCGTATCTGGGACAGACTGTGTAATACACAATGCATAAGAAAATCACCCAATCAGAGTCTTTTATTTCTGACCCGGGGAGGAATGGTTTTGGGACTCAACAACGAAATAAATTAAAGGGAAAAATATTATCAAGGTTATCGTTTTTACATTTTCCTAGACGAGCAGCTCTGTGGTCATTGTAATTATCGCAATGTCATTTATCGTAATAAGTATCGTAATAAGTTAGTTCGCAGTAAAATGTTTATAATAAACAGGATGAAGAAATATTAACGTTAAAGAAATATAACGTTACACAATATATTTAAAACTAGCGATATTTTTGTTTCGATATTATATAATATCGATATATTTTTGTTCCGATATATATTGGTTATCGATATATTTGCTTTCGACACATTATACGATACGAACATCGATATTTTTCTATCGATGCTCATCCCTATGAGCGAGACGCGGCTCGCGGGCTCCTCGCGAGAGGAGCCGAATTCGCTTCTGATTCCCACGGAGAAGGTCCGTTCCCGTTTCCCCGCGACGGCGAGTGATCCCGTCGAGCACCGCGAGGCTGTTGAGGCGAGTTGCTTCGAAGCGACAATTAGCCACGCGGGCTCGCGGGGGATCCACACGTTCTTCAGGTTCATGCGTGTCACTACGTCCTCGTGCGCGTAGCATCCCCGACGCCACATAAATCAACGGATGCGTCTATATCCACCTAGAGCGCGCTCCTTTGGGATTTCCCTCCCGACGCTTCGCGTCACGAGTCGCGAACAAATCATCGCGCCGGCCAATTAAGGATGCGCACGACGACGATTTATATCCCGATGTGCGTGCGTGTGAGTGGCGTTGTTTAAAATTCATAAGAATAATCACCACCTGCGAAACTAAAGACCCTCGCATTAATGGATGGCTCCGCCGCGCTTGCAGTCGGCGAGAGGGGAGCGGAGGAAGGGCTTGCTGGTGTTGATTAGCCCTCGATGGTAGTAAAGAGCGCGTGATAAGATCTGTTTACTCTCCGCGGGGGCCCCAATCGTGGGCCCCGGACGATGGGCTCGGCATCTTTTCATTCGACATTGTCGTCGGTTTCGAGGGGAGAAAGAAAGAGACTCGTCGAGAGCGGAGCGGCTCAAGTGGCCATTTTGTTATATAACTCAGGTAAACGGTGTGAGCATAGACTTTTTATACCTAGACTGCGTGTTCGAGGAGTGGGGGGGGGGTAGAGTCACGTAGAAAAGGATACACTCTGTTTTGTCTGTGCGTTCTCTCTCGTACACTCTAGATGGAAGGAGAAAGGGGCGGAGGTAGTTAATTACTAACCTGTACGACAATACATAGCCGTGGTTTTTTTATTTTTTTCCGATATAGTGATCAACCACCGTGCCTTCCGCTCACCCCGAGATATATACAGGTACAGCCGCTCGTACAGGTTAACATCTGCCTCCCCTATTCCCTCTCCATCGAGAGTGTGCAAGAAAACACGCACAAACAAAACAGAGTGCATCAGGAGGTTTATCCCCACCCTTGAAATTTGGGAGAACGCGCAGTCTAAGTCTATACTATGTCTATGGTCGTGAAGCTCTTTGACCCAAATCAAAGGACCCAAGGAAGGTTTACAGCTAAATTGATCGATTATCAATACACGGGGTGTCCGCAAAAGTCGGGGCTGAACTTAGACAAGGTCGAGTAGGTGAAAAAAAAATTATATAACCTAAAACACTCGATTGAGAGGTTACAGACGTACAAAGATTTGCAGAGGAAATCGTTCTCCGGCAGAGAATGGACGCCTCTTTGTGGGGCCACGGTTGGTTTATAAGAATCTGATGGAAACAGAATACCAGCTTTTCTAGTACAGTAGAAATATTCGAAGGAATTCGATGGTTATTAGTTCGACGAACGGCGAACGGCGGTTATTAGTTCGACGAAAATTATTCTCGCGGAAGGAGGAATTTTCGAGCGTTTTGTAAGCACCGCAACAACTCATATAATCCTTACGTACACCAAGGTGCGTTTTTTCGCATCAGCGATTCTGTATAACGAGTTGCGGAAAACAATTCCACTCTCGTAAATGTTTGAACGTTAATAATTTTTCTGCCGGGTGTTTCCGGACGCAAAATTACGTAAGCTTTTTTTCACCTACTCGACCTCGTTAGCGTCGCTGCGTGAGTTTGACATCCCGAGGAGATGCCTTTGCGGGCATCCCGTATTTCCGTGAAAAAATGCGTCGTCCCTCTGTCGTGATATTTTTACCGGTATATTCGATCGTCGCGTTTCCGATTTCGATTAGCTGGGAAACGAAAATCGCGGCTGCAAGTTACGAGCGAGATCGACTGAAGAACACACGCATTGGTTATTCGTTATTAGCTGGGAAAAAGAGGCGGTTTCCGCGGAAATATTTATCCGCGCGCGTCCGATACCCGGGACCACATTTCCGGGCTGCACTCGTGATTCGTAAACATGCCCGGGCAAAGTAACCACCGTTTCGTTCACCGGCAATTAATAGTCTACCCGGAAATTGCAACGCGGCCGCGCACGTAGCACCACACACGTGCTGGCATTCGCATGTTTGCGCGAATATACGGACTTCCTCTCGGCAGCGGCGGCTCGGAATGCGAGTCCGTCCCTTTTTGTTTTTCACCGAGTCGCAAATAATTTTGCCTTTACCCACGCGTTCTGGGAAAAGCGCGACGTGTGCCGTAAAAAGCGAATGCGATCGATTACGTCGGTTTTTCTCTCTTTTGTCCTTCCGGAGAACCGCCTCTCTCTCTCTCTCTCTCTTTCTCTCTCTCTCTCTCTCTCTCTCTCTCTCTCTCTCGACTCGGCGCAACGGCTCCGTTCACGATCGACCCTGCAATTACCGCGAGTTTAATTAATTTATTACGCGTTTGTGCAGGAATGCCCGAACTTCCCGGAAGACCCGCGGGCGGAACAGTGCGCCAAGTACAACAGGAGGAACTACAAGGGCCGCAGTTACGTCTGGGTGCCCTTCGTAGACGGTGAGTGAGTTCTGAAGGAAAGCGGCGGGCGCTTTGTAATTGTACACCGTCAGCTCGGAGGTACATATTTTCCGTCTGATATCGTATCGCAGAATAATATCGCACGATAAAAGAAGACTCGGACGCGAAAAAAGATTTCTTCTAAAATCTTCCGTTTCCGGACGTTACCTTCGTTCGCTAAGAGGACACGCTGAAGAAAAATGTCAGGCCTGGCAAATTAATTTACATGAATAACTGAGGGTCTGACAACGGGAAAATAATTACACAATTTATGATATTCATGTACACATATACAAGTCTCAGGAACATGATGATGCCAAATGTCACGCGCGAATCAGTCATGAAGTGCGTAAAAATATGCAAAAACCTGCGAAGCAATGGATATCCCACATATGCAACAAAAGAGGTTAGGATTCAGATAAAAATTATATATATATATATATAATTCTACCGCGTCTATGTAAATACCTATGTGAAAAAATATATACATGTAATTTTACATATATTTATATATAATTTTTTAATTACATATATATAATAAAAATAAAAATTATGTATACAATTTTTATATGGATAAAAATTTTTATAGATATTTATATGTATTTTATATCGATTTTTTATAGATATTTTTGTATAAGTAAAAATTTTATATATTTATATATATATATATATATTACATACACATATTATGTTAAATTACATATATAATTTTTATATGGATAAAAATTTTTTTAGATATTTATGTATTTTATATCGGTTTTTTTATAGATATAATTTTCCTATGGACAAAAATTATATCTATATAAAATAAATATTTATAAAAATTTGTATCCATATAAGAATTGTATATACAATTTTTATTCAAATCTCAACCCTTTCTGTTGCATAAGTAAGGACGGGAGGATAAGTTGGGGAGGCAAAGGCTCATCTGAACGGCCATCTATACGCAATTCTATTCGGATAAGCGCGAACACCGCTTCCCGGTGAGCCAACTTCCGCGCGGCCTAATCTCGATTACTGTTCCCCAGCGCCGAACTCATGCGCGCTCAATTGCCGTGCAGTCGGCGAGCGTTTTTACGCAACGCTTGAACCGGCAGTAATAGACGGCACGCCCTGCGACGCTCCGAATCTTCGCGGACGTGGCGGCGGCGGCGGCGGCGGCGGCAATGGTATCGGGATTTCGACGGAACGCAACGGCGAGCGGTGGCTATGCGTCGCCGGACAATGCAAGGTAGGCATGAATAGGGCGCGCGAGTGATACGCGCCCGCGAGAGAGAAACGATGCCGGAAATTAACGGTCGATATGTTGGCCGGCGCGCGATACGATACGATCGGTGAGATCGTTATTGACCCGTGCACACGGCTCACGCTTTCGGCCCTCCGCCGTGCGCGGTGCCGGCGGCCCTTTCGTTCCTTTTTCCTGTCGGCATCGGGGTTCATTGCACGCCCGACACATTGGTCAGATACGCACTTATCTCAATGAACAGCTCTCTCTCTCTCTCTCTCTCTCTCTCTCTCTCTCTCTCTCTCTCTCTCTCTCTCTCTCTCTCTCTCCCTCCCCCCCCCCTCTCTCTCTCTCTCTCTCTCTCTCTCTCTCTCTCGGAACCGGGCCTTTCTGATTTTCACTCGAGCTTCCGATGTGTTTGACCATAGACTTTTATATATTAGCTAGACTGAGAACTTCCATTTTCTCTTTCACTTCAGTTTTCACATATAAAAGTGACCCTTATGTAAAACATAAAATCGTGCGCACATGCGCATTGCAAAATTACTTTATATATTGAATGAACATTGAACGTGAACATTGAATGTGTCATTGAATATGACATTGCAAGAGGAAATATTAAATATTGGATAAATATTAACATCTTCTGGAGCAAAAATGCCTGTACGGTGCAGTTACATTCCTTTCGGGACCGTACACAATGCGCATGCGCGAAATTTTAAAATACGCACTTGTAAGGGACATGTTAAGGAGGCCAATGCTATCGGTCTAGTGTATGATATAGAAGTCTGTGTGTTTGACAAAGTTTGAGGACACAGCTGAATGCATAAGAATGATTTATTCGGGGCGCACAAAAGAAGCGCATAGCTTGCGCATAGCTTGCACGCGCAAAAAAGGAAGGAAGTCGTACCGCGCGGACTTTCATATAAATGGCGTTGGCTAAAACACATAAAGCCGTCATAAATGAGGCGCGAATTTAAATCTACATTAAAAAGATGGAAAGTAATACTGATATTTGATTATATTGCAAAAGAACTTGCTCAACAGTTATTGTCAATTGTCTCGGGGTTTTTCGGAGGCGAGTAGAAATTGGATGCTCGAGGCGACATAAAAAAATACCGCCGCTCGTGAAATCGCAAGAGGAGATGAATATCTCACTCGATCTCACAGAGTGGAGTCTGAATCTGCTCCTACGCGTTAAGGCGCATTCACACCTGAGCAGAAAAGCAGAAAGCAGGAAGGCAGCAACCAATCAGAACTTGCGCTGATAGTCTCTCTCTCTCTCTCTCTCTCTTGCGAGAGTTTTTCTCTCTGTCGTTCTCTTGGCTTCTGCTGTTCTGCTTTCTGCTTTTCTGCTCAGGTGTGAATGCGCTCTTAGATTTATTTTTCAATTGCGAGGGAAATCGCGACGACGCTCAGAAAAGCCGCGCTCTGCTTTCTCGAGTGCAATTTCATTCTAAGAAATCTCAAGAGTACGACATGACACGAAATAACGAGAAAGGACGAATTCTCCTGGTTTGGATCCTCTCCGACGGAGACGACGACGTTTTGCGAAACGTTACTTCTCAAAAAGAAGCCGAGAAACGCCCGTCTCTCTCGTTAATTCCTCCTAAAGTGCCGAGCGAGTGAAGTAAAGAGAAAGAGAAAATCGCGAGCCGGAAAGCTCACCGAATAAGGGAGGACGTCGCGAAGGACCAGGAGCGAGGTCGAGCTCGGTGAAATCGGAGGGCATGTTTTCCGCATGAATGACTGCATTCAGCAGACTCAACACTTGGACAGCATTACTAGATTTTCCACTGAATCTCGCTCCTGATTGGTAAATACTTCTGGGTCTATGAAGAATCTAAAAGAATGCCCCAATCACAGACAGAATAATCACTGAGCGCTCTCTGATCACTTTGTTCCACCGAACGCGGCCAATGAATGAATGAATGAGAAGCGCGCAACTCTGTGGCGCTGGGAATTCACATGTTTGCCGTTCAGTCCGTAGGGTGCGACGGGGTGGTGGGGTCCGACGCGACGATGGACGCCTGCGGCGTGTGCGGTGGCCAGGGCAGAGGTTGCAGATTGTACGAGGGTATCTTCATGGAGCCGATTCTGCCGAAGGGTCATCAGCAGGTGACCATGATTCCGAAGGGCGCCATGTCGCTCAACATTTCCGAGCTACGGTTCAGCAGTAATTTTCTAGGTAGCGCATGGACGCCTCTTCTAGAACCGCACGCACCGCTCGCGCGACGAGCTGACGCGCGCGCGCGCGTTTCGTTCTCGGGCCGAGCTCGTAATGTAGATAACGTCTGTCTCATGCACGAGGTAAAAAAGTTCTCCGAGTGTACACAGGGTGTTCAGGAACGCCTTCTCGGGGGATCTTCCGAGGAGGCAGCTTCTGCACGATCAAAGCGAAAGTGTCGAGGGCGGGTGGCATCAGCGTTCGACAAGTGACGAATGTCGCTCGGCGAACTTGGGTGGGATTTATGACGATTTTGACACACTCGTTTCGGCCACTTGCCGACTGAAATTCGCGCGAACGATTCGACATTTGAAAGTCGGCCAGACGAGCGGCGTGTTCTTGTCTCGTTTCGTTTTCTTTCTTCCTCCTCGCTCGCGACACACTGCGCGACGCAGAGTGCGAACGACTGGTTAACAAACGATCGATCTACTCGCAGCGTTGAGAGACAGTAACGGCAGTTACATCCTAAACGGACCGTGGTCTTACAGTCCCAGTGGCACTTATAAAGCGGCTGGTACGACATTAACATACCAGAGGGGCGATAGGAACCGCATGGAGTGCATCTTGGCAACCGGACCGTTGAATGAGTCTTTGCATCTAGAGGTATTTATTATAGAGAGCTGCTTTATTCGTCATTATTCGTTTTTTATTAGCCGTATATCGGCTTGAGATAATTGCAATGTTTCTGTCTCTCTATTTCTCTCTCTCTCTCTCTCTCTCTCTCTCTCTCTCTCTCTCTCTGGCTTTGTTTTCGACTCGAGCTCTCACGCTGCCATGTCGAAGTTTTCGAATTCAGCTTTCCGCAAATTGAACAGATTTAAACCGACGAAATTGGAAACTTAATTTTTCGAACTTTTTTTCAAATTTTTTTTTCCGTGAGTTTATATTAAATGGTGAATTAAGTTCAACCGTTTTCCAAATAAATTCAACGCAACTTTTCGGGTGAAACAAATTAGCCCGATCAGATTTGAAGTTGGAACTTAAGTTTGACTCGAGAAATTTCATCCCATCTTCACATCGTTAATATCGCTTTTCGCGCATGGTGCCGTAGATCTTATCGCTGGATCGAAATCCAGGCGTCCTCTACAAGTATATGTTGCCCATGAGGGAAGTGCCGGACGGCAAAGCGATAATCGCACCGCCATTGCTCGTCGCCGGTAATTGTTTTATCGCCGTATCAATTACGTACGATTAAACATCGCTGTTTACAGTCCATAAAGTCGTAACGTTACGTTCTTCTTTGTAGGATCAAACGATCGGGGCAATGAAATACCTAGTCCGGAGAGCCACGTGACCATACGAGTGCCCATCACGAGAACGTAAGTACGCATGCGCTCTCTGCCTCATCAGATCTGTTCCGAAATCGGTTTCGGAAATTTTGGTTTCAGTTATGAGGTTGGTAGGACTTAAACTAACTTAGATGAGTTCCGTAATTGAGATCAGCTGGTCAATTTTCAAGATAATAGGTAACAACAAATTTGCCCATTTTTCTGTCTAATATTGCAAAATTAATAGCTAATATCAATTTTTGGAAATGGAAATACTATATGGCGTTCAAGCGCGTGATCAGCTGATCTCAGTTAGACGGAACTCGTCTAAGTTAGTTTAAGTTCTCGACCAATCTCGACTAAAACAAAAATATCCGAAACCGATTTTGGGACAGGCTATCGAAAAATTAATTAAACAGCCCAATTATAATTATACTTCGGACATTTCTTTAGGTCTCGTGTTTTATTTTCGCCCGCGAAAATCGTCGCGGTTGTTGTGCGTCTAAGGCTGAGAAGCAACAGGTTACTTTTTTTGCCGATAACGACTTGACAAAGAGATTATTTTCGTTCCCATTAGCAACGGTAACGGTAAAGCTGTTACATTTTCTGGGTAACGATAACGAATATAATCGTTACTTTGCCGGGCGTGTCTGACCGCCATGTACAAATCTGTCATGTAGATCAGATTAAACCAAACGAAAAGTTCCCCCATCATTTCGCGCGAACGAGCACGTGAAATCACTGAATTATTGATTCGAGAAGATCGGCGATACGAGCGAGCGATCCACGACTCCCGCAACGTCGTGCGCTCGTAGATCAGGCGAAACTCAGCGAAAAAGAGTGCTGCGCCGCCATCTTGTCGAATATAACTACGTCGATTTGTAGTTAACATTTAAAGGACTATCCTGGCGCGCTCCATCTCGCGCGTGACCGGTCGCCAATCTTCTTCAATCGATCACTCAACGTCCGCACGGTATTATTTGCAAGATACACGAGTACAGAACTCTTTCTCGTGCGCGAAAGATTGAGACGTTCTCTTCGGACATCCCCCCCCCTCAAGAAAAAAGCCCGGTAGAAAAAAGCAACGGAGATTGTAGAGCGATTCGCGTTGCTTCCCGAGTAACGGTAACGCGCGACTCTCAAGGAGTAACTTGCTCGACGTTGAATACACTCCCCGGGGAGGGGGGGGAGGAGGAGAGGGAGGGGGGGCGAGCTTTTCACGCGGCTCGGATTCCGCCGATGGAGAGACTCTTCCTCCTTTGTGCGACACGGGGGAATCTATGCGGCTTGTCCGAGCCCCGGAGCTGAGCCCCGCGATTAGTCTTCGTTCATACGGCTCGTTCGCCTTGCCTTCCAGATCGGATCGGCGGGGCGATTTATCTTCGACGCGTCGCGATCGCGATCCCGCGCGCACGCAGCACGTCGGGCGGAAGGAAGAGATGAAGCATCCGCCGACCACGGTGATGGCGGGCGATCAGCCAAAGTCAAAGGCGAGGAAGAAGAAGAGGAGGAAGTTCGCTTGGAAAATAGCCGACTTCGCTCCCTGCTCGGAGGAATGCGGGGGAGGTAAGTCGATAATTAATCGCGCGTCGTTCGCGGCGCGCGTATCGCGTGCCGTGAGCACGCAATTGGAAAAATCCCGCCGGCGATATCGTGTGTTCTTGGACGGAAAGTCCACCTCCTGTGAGCGCACCTCGCCGAGAGAGATACGTCGTTGGCGTGACGGGAAGTGAGGCTCGCCTTCCTGCAACGCTCTTTCCGCGAGCCGAGTCCCTCGTTTAGAACTGAAAACTAAGTGTGCAAACTGAGGAAGGTGGTCCGAGAGGAATGATCGTTTCGTGCGCGTAAGATGTTTTTATATCTCCACATTTTCATATTTTACACGCGATGTTTGGAATCACCAGGTCGAATCACACACACACACACACACACACACATATACACACATGCACACATAATCCGAAACGCCGGCGACATAAAAAGTCGCGTAATTTCGAGCCGTCGTTTGGGCTCCGCCGTGAGGAGACGATTAAACGCGCAATTCGGCAAAAAGCGTCCGAGCAATTAAAGGTCATGACAGGAACGACTTGGTCTGTGTCCGATCGAGATGTTGCGTGGGAAGTCGCAAGGTCGACCCGAGTTCGTACGTTCGTTTCGCTACTATTGTACCGAATGTTTTAGCGTGATAGTCGAAAACCTGATCAATGGCAAAGTATTTTCAACGTTCTCGCACATCGCGACCGCCCGCGTGATTTCCGGCAAAAGGCGTTTCCCGTAATACGAGACGTCGCTCTAGGCGTTATTACGACTTCCGGCAGCGCGGAAAACGCCTCTCGCGAAAAATCTCGTTGCAATTTCCGGCTTGGAAAAGGCTAAAGGCTTGCCACACACAGCGAATTGCGCCCTCGTTCTTGCATAAATCAAATCAAGGGCGTGCATATGCTTCGATTTTTTATCTAAATGTCAAATGTCTAAATGTCAAATGTCTAAATGTCAAATGTCTAAATGTCAAATGTCAAATGTTAAAAGATGATATAATAAAAAATGGGGGTTTCTGTTTAAAAAAAATAAGTTGACCTTGGCTTGACCTTGGTAACGCCACTTTAGGTCAAACTGATAAGATCAGTAAATACATCGTTTCGAGCCTTGTAACTTTTGTCTGAAACACTTTTCTGTAAAACTTATATCTTTCCAAATTTTTAAGGGTTTCCATCTTTTTTCCTCACCCTGTAGTTAACCGAAAGCGAGCGAATGAAATCCGGCGAATCGCAAATAATCGCGGACGTAAACGTAGATGCGAAGATATTAGGAGGTTGAATTAATTCTGATCTTATTTTGTCAATCTTTTTATCTTTACTTTAAAGAAATGGTTGAATTCACATCAAACAAAATATTTTCCGTTGTTAGCTGTGACTTTTCCCCCCATCTTTCTGGCAACATAGCGATTCCGCGACGATAAAACGATCTGTCTTTCGAAGAAATCCGAGCAGACATCCATTTTTGCACATCCTCGTAATTATATATTATATATAATTCGCCATGAAAAACTCTCTTTTCTGTCTGGTAAGCAAAGCCATGGCGATATTGCGATAAACGATTTGCAATGGCACTTTCACTTAATTCATATGGAACCCATTTTTGCCTTCCTTTTGAATTTTTCCCACGGCGTGTAGGCGTTTAGAAATTGTTGATTTATCGACGTTAAGTTGTTCAGCCAATTGCCATTCAGAATCTCGAAATTTTTTTGGTTGATCAGTACATTCTTTATCGCTCAAATCGAAATCACCACTTTTGAATCGTTGAAACGAAAATTTACAGTTGGAATACGATGGAGCTCGATCACCATAAGTTGTAACAAGCATTTCATGAGCTTCAGTTGTCGATTTTTTCAAATCAAACAAAAAAAGTAATGAATGTTGAAAATACAATTTCTGTTGCTAGGACTCAGAACTACGTAATTCAAGCTCCTACATACAAGCGGGAGGTCATTTCCGTTTTTAAGACACGAAGCCGGAAGTCGTCAATGGCGCACGCTCCCAGCGTCTTCGCTCACTTCCTCGGCGCCTGAATGTTGCACGTGACAGCATCCGATATATCCGATATGTCCGAGGCTTCTCCTAAATTTAGATTGACGCGATACGGGCGGAAAGTATACGGGGGAGGGACGAAACGGTCACGTCGATCATAATTCAGGATGCGATAGCCGGGAGGCATCCACCAGCACCCCGGTTCCTATCATTTTTGCGAATCGCGCTCGCAGCGCTGCAGCCTGACAGATGGAGGGGAATTCGTCCTGCGAAATTGACCGAGGATGAGAAGAAGCGCGACGCGATACGTTAGGCGTTTATGCGACGCACTGCGACATTCTTGCGCTTGCAGGCGTGCGGACGGCGATCCTGAAGTGCATCCGCGAGGATAATCAGACGCTCGTCAACGAGAAACGCTGCCGCAACCTGGAAAGGCCGAAACATCCACCCCCGTTGCGATGCAACGACCATCCTTGCGTTCCCAGGTATCTGAAGCGATATAATTTTTTTTCTTTAGCGGGAAAAAGGGAAAAAGGGTGCCAAATTTGCATTGCTATGGGCGTTTTGAACTGTCCGACAGATTTCTGACAAACTTTAATCAACCCCTTTTGACTGGCGCGAACGCAATACCGCGTTTTGATGTTTCTGGTAGCTGAATATTTCTAAAATTGGACACTCAAAGGTCTCTGGGATTATTTTATTTGACAGTGAGATTGAAAATTCAAAATTCAAGTTGTAAGAAATGTAAAAATTTTACGAAAACTTTAAGATGTCGTAGGTTTTGAGGTTTCCGAGGTCGCTCTTTTTAACAGTGAATTTCAAAAATAGAAATTCGAAATGGCGAGTCGTCAAACCAATATAGATAACTAAAACAAAGTATTATCCACATATTACATAACTTATCGTTATATATTATATTTATTCGTTATATTTCGATATTTGGTTACTTTACACTGTAAGAAATGATATGTTAAATTTAACATATTTCATGTGTTTCAAATCATCCACTCTCATTTATGTGTTAATTTAACATACAGCAAATATGTTAAATTATTACATTACATTTAACACAAGATAACTGTTATAATGAAGGAAGTAACACATTTTAGGTGTTGACTTCAACATATAAAATATGTCATAGCAAGAATTTATGCATTTACATATAAATTGTGTTATTTTAATACCTGGAAATGTTATTTCAACACTTAAATAGATAGAAAATAGATAATCTTAATTTAACACAAGAAAGTCTAGGTAACACAACAACGCGATATGTTAAATTAACACACGACTGTGTAAAAAATTTAACACAAAACTTTCTACACACAAATAATTTTAACCAAGGTACGAAATGTTTTTAACTGTGTACAGATTTTCGAATTTTGTGTATATTTTTACCATTTACTTTTTCCCATAACAGATGTCCAGTTTTATTTTGATAAAATAAAGTTATGATTTTAGTCGTCGTATTGAATTTAAAAAATGTTGAGTTCATATTTTAATGTGACTTTAATGTGATATCGCCAAACTCTTGAAAATCCATTTTTTACCACCTCAAGTACTCGTGCCAAAATTCAGCTTGCCGGTCTCACGAGGTTAAAAATCAACGCAACTTCTACAACCCGCATTGAGAGACCAAAACATATTAAGCTGTATTAACGTAAATAAAATCGCAAACGCTCTTTTAATACGGTCTGGCTTACCAGGCCTGATCTTTGCTTCTCAAATTCACAATCTTCAGTCACGGTTTTGGAAGAAAGCCGCTCGATTTCCAGCAGCTTTCACTGAGGAACCTGAATAGCTGAATGGAAACACGCGATAATCCCGACACACATGGCGCTAATGTAATTCACAATGTGCGTAAGTGGACAAGTTCAATTTCGCATTCAAAGAGCCGGAAACGTCGTTAGATGGCGAGCCGAGCCGTGGAGCGAGTGCTCGGTCACCTGCGGGGCCGGCATCAGGACACGGAAGCTGGAGTGCGTCCAAAAGATGGAGGGAAGGTTAATGCGCGTCGCAGCCAGCGCATGCGCTCAACCGCCGGATCTAAGGACCATGGAAGCTTGCAGCCTGTCAGCGTGTCCTAACACGGGTCCAGAATTGAGGCATATGCATTCGCAGCACGACGCGCCCAGGTGGAACGTGGGTGCCTGGGGCCCGGTGAGTTATTCGTCCGTTGACTCTTTGGAGCGCAGGATTTTCGGACGAAAAAGATTCCAGTTAAACAGAAATTTTATTCAGAAAGAATGTAACACAAAAACGGGGTAGGGTATATCGCAAGCCGACATGCCTCTTGAGTTATCTGAATATTTCAAGGTTGAAAAGCATCCCACTGTGCATATACAGGGTATTTCAAAAAAAAGGGCTTAGGACTCTAAGGGCTGATTCACCAAATGGAGGAAAAGAGTCCTGATAAACATATAGGTCGAAAAATCATCAACATTGTCGGAGTTGTGAACAATTATTTATTTTAATTAAAGCAAGTGACATGTTTCTAGGGATTCCTTTAAAGCGTAATATTCCCTTCACCGATAAGTGAGATAGACAGATAACATTAGAGAATACAAAAGCCGCGACAGTCGACGTGTTAAAAAATAAAACTCGTCGCGTCGTTTTGTGGAAATATAAATTCTGTCCCAATAACTTGCTTCCGGCAAGGCTTTCCGCCGGCTTCCGCTTTTGTCACGTAATTGTACCTTTCAGTGCTCGACCACGTGTGGTCGCGGAATTCGAAATCGAACGGTCACTTGCATAACATCCGGAGAGTCTTGCTCGTTGCTCAACAAGCCCGAGTCCCAAAAACCGTGCGAGATAGCAGCCTGTAACATGGTGATGGACGCAAGACACCACGCGCCCTGGTTGTACTCGGAGTGGTCTTCCAAGGTACGAAATACAAACGAGCGTACATAGAAAGAGTTATTCTAGTTTCTAAAAATATATTTAAAATGTGCAGATTTCAAGAAATCTTGCATTGTCACTCGAAAGAAGACTTCGCTCAGAAGAAATATTTATATTTTCTTTACAAGAATATTATAAATCTTATACTTTATATAGAAAAAGCAAGCTGAATGTTTCTTTTAATGGCAATGATTCATGTACGAGCGAAAAAGAAGTACCACAACTAATAATGACTCATATACATGGTGTGCCAGAAAGATGGATACCCTGAATTAACTCGGAGTGACGTTTTTGAAAAAAATGTTAAACGTTAAAAGTTTTAGAAGTCAATTTTCAACGAATTTGCATCAAATTTGATACACCCATGTTTTTTGGGCCGTTGATTATGAATCCGGAGTCAAAATCGAGAAATTCGTGGCAGATTCAATATGGCGACATCTAAATATTCAATTTTGTTAGTTTTTGAAGAATATTTGTTAAGATTGATCCTATTCCTATTTGAATTTTTATAAAATCTTTATAGAAGATTTTTCTTTATAGAAAATGACAGACCTCGGGTCGAAATTTCAAAATTAAAAATGGCAGATCCCATATGACATTGTATTATTTCGTTATGAAGATCATATTCGATATGTTTATGTTTTTGGGTTGCTGATGGCGAATCCAGTCAGGTAAAATCTAAAATGGCGGGTCCAATATGGCAATTTCTAAAAACTAACAGTAAGCTGCTTCCGTAATGAACAATTTAAAAGATATTATACCAATCTTGAGTGTATACTCAAAATTAAACAACAAAGATTGAATATTTTAAATCCGTTAACTGCAAAAAACGTATTGAGTTTAATACGTATCCATAATGGAAGTTAGCCACTTGAGGCCGCCATATTGGGTCCGTCATTTCTATCCTGAATTCATTACCAGAGACCCAAAAGATCCTTTTAAGTAAGCTTCTATATAAAATACGAAATTATCCGTTTTCACCAATTTTGGTGAAAACGGTTATAAAACGTTGATGTTGGATCCACTAGTGAACTTAAAGTTAACCTTAAAGGTTACCATAGGTGAAATTTCATCCCATGCGAATTTTGTCTCGATCTTATTAAGTGTTAAATTATCCGCTGCAAACAATAACTCCTCTATTTTTTATCTAATCTTTAATAATAATAATAATAGAACATTTAATTGCATTTGTTTGACTTTTTTTATTTCTAAAACAAAAAAATATACATCGTAAAATTTCACCCATGGCAGCATTAACGTGATTTTCTTTGATGGTAACTTTTAAGGGTTCATATTTTCGATTGAGGTCTCGAAACTCACTAGAGATGTAAGATTTGCGGATACGTGAACTGATATTGAAAACACTTGAAGCAAGTAGCACTTGTTTGCATGCAGATGTACTTTTCCGTGTGCATATTTTGTATATTCCTCTCTATTCCAAGCTCACCACGGACCGTTCGTTATGCTTCGCAGTGCTCGACGGAGTGCGGGAACGGCGTGAAGACCAGGCGAGTTGCGTGCGCCGACGGTAGCGAATTATTTTGCAATCCCAAAGAGAGACCGGACATGGAGATGCGCTGTTTCGGACGAGGCACGAGCTGCGACAAAGCCAAGTGGTTCACCGGCCCGTGGACTTCCGTTAGTACAAGATGACTCGGAGAACCGAACTTGCTCGCTTCGCGGCAACACGTAAACGTCAAAGCGACCGCCGTAGACAAACGTTAACGAATCTTGCGTTAACGAGTCTCGCGATGAAAAAGCTCATAGCAGCAACAAACTTGCAGCAACATTGCTGCAATGTTGTAGCAATGTTGCTGCAACATTGCAACATTCTTGCAACGTTGTAGCAATGATGCTACGACTTTCTGCGCTGTATGGGAGAGCGCTCGAACACTCATAATCGCGAGACATGAGATTACGCGTTGCGCAATTGAACAAACTCACGTGAATTTTTCGTGCTTTTCCAGTGCTCTGTCTCGTGCGGCGTCGGCGTGCAGCGTCGCAGCGCCGTTTGCCTGTCCAGGACGAATGACGAGTTTGCTGTGTTACCGGCGAAAAACTGCAACGAGCCGAAGCCGGCGAGCGAACAAGCCTGCAGGATGTCGGCGTGCTCGCCGGAATGGTTCACCTCGGATTGGTCGACGGTAAGAGAAGTCGGTCTCAAATCAACATCCAAGGGGATTTCCCCCGAAAATGACACCGCTACGTTTCGCTTTCAGTGCTCCGCGACGTGCGGTTTTGGGGTGCAAACGCGGCTCATACGGTGCATAATCGAGGGTGTCGGCAGCAGCAATTGCTCGGAGATCGGCAAACCAATTGGCGAGCAACGATGCAGCGTGGAGCCGTGCAAGAAGGAGTCAGCGGTGAACAAACCGCCGAAAAGTAAGTAGGCTTTTCGAGTAGGCTGTCTCTGAAACGCCAATTTCAACCCTCTCTCTCTCTCTCTCTCTCTCTCTCTCTCTCTCGACTGCGATCGACTAGAACAAATTATCTAATCCGTCTGTAGTTTATAGATATAACCTGAACCATTGCGTTTTAGAAGCGCACGAGCCAGCCAAGTGCGTGGACAAGTCCCCGAATTGCGCGGTGGTGGTGAAGAACGGCCTGTGCCGGGTGAAGTACTACAACAACATGTGTTGCCAATGCCGTCAATAGCAATGCGCCAGCGATCCTCACTCGTTACTTCCGCGACTCGGCGGCCGCGAAAGTGCGGAGCTAGCGAGCGAACTAATATATTGTTAAGCGAAAAATACACAAATGTCGATCGGAACACCGGCAGACAATGCCGTGCGTAAGACTGCTACAAAGAGACCACAAGCACGTATGTATAATATTATTTATATCGCGCGAGAGAGACGGGGGAGAAACGGGTGAGCAGCCATGTCCTGTGCGTAGTCATGCTTTATCCCGCCGACCGGAGTAGCATCCTTCTCGCGCACGCGCGCAGCCGAGAGTGGACAGCCTGTGAATTTCGCGAGAGAGATCTGCGTCGACGAGTTTTGCGCAAATTTTCGACACGAAACGTAGGTTTTTTTCGTTTGCATAAGTATGTTCATTGTCGACCGGTCGCGCGTCGTCAGGCTCTTACGTGTGTACGAAGATGAAGATTCGGTTAAGTGGACGAATTTTCGGCCGGAACGACACCGAGGTGATCTCTTGTCGGGTTGAAGTTGTCGGGATCTGGCCTGAATGATCAGCACCTGCGGTCTCGAGCCGAGCCGAAGTTCTGCCATTCTCGATCTCGGGATTTCTCACTCGCTCATATTTCATTAGAAAATCGGTTCATTCAACCAAGCCTAATTTTTCTCTCTCTCCGTCCACACGTGCGCGCTCGTGTGCGCTGTGGAGTGTGGCTGCGCGCGCTGGTCGTTTTTGCATCGCGTCGCGTGCGCGTACGAGTCGATATCTGTGTTATCGCGCGGACAGGTACAGGGCCGTAACTCGACCGAATCGGAGCGGGACGCGGGACGGGCCTACGCAATAAACACACCCATACACGCGCACCATACCGCCCCTGAGCCTTTTATACAAGTAGCATCGCGATCTTAACTTTTGTATGCTTTACGTGAAAAGCGACGCGACTTTTTTTACGTTCGCGATAAAAGGGAATACGTGACAAAGTCTCGCGGCGGATATCCGAAAGATTGATAATCCGGCGTTGGCCATTTATCACACTGGCGTTATTTGCCCTCGCCCGATGCGAGGATAACTATTAATCTCGACACTTCGACGAACGAGACACTTCGAGATACGCGACCGGGAGTTTGTCACGTCGAGAAGAAAGTAGGTCGAACCTTGAAATAATGCTAATTAAAATAAGCGCGCGCGCGCCTGCCTTCAATGCCATCCCACGCGTATTATTTTATCTTAGCGATAACATTAGAATAAAAGAAAAGTAACAGTATATGCTATCTATGTGTGTCTGTTCCCTCTTGGTCGAATTCGCCGGGAAGTGCGGCGGAAAGTGTGCGTGCGTGCGTGCATGCGACGCTCTCGTTTCGTGAAATTACATTCTCACAAGGCTGCGAGATCGCACAATTGCGAACGGCAAGTCCGCAAAATTAACAAAAAAAAAATTCTGTCATACCCACATTAAAGAAAAAAAAAGCGTACATCTTTCTAACGATGCAGAGACCGATGACCCGGGGTGCGTGCGAGGCGCAGTTACGCCCCTGAGTAACGAACCTTTCTTCGCATGCACGGTCGCGCAAAACCTGTACGCCCATGGAAACTTCGGAGGCTGCACCCGCCTCTGCCCGAGCGCGTCAAATGAAACGAGTTCTCGGCGAGCCCAGAATTGACGTGAAACGATGTAAAACGCGTCATTCGAGTGCGAGCGATTTGCGTTACGCAAATCGGCCGCCGAGTAATGCGCCGTGAAATACGCGGCCGTTTCCGCGGGAAAAATCTTCTTCCGCGGAAACGCCAGCAGAAAACGATTGTCTCGAGATGCGAATCCGCTCGGTCGACTCGCTTAACCGCGTTCGGCCGGCGCTGACGAGCGCAAGTGTGTCATTTCTGTAAGTCTGAATGTTCGAAGGCTGCGTGCAAACGTCGGAGCAAATTCGGTCGGAAAATTCGCCGAGTCCCTTCGCGGCGGAGCGACAGGTGGAATTTCCTCGAACGGAGCGTTCGTACTTTCCGTAGCTTCCCTCGAGCGACGTCGCTCGAACGATGATGAAAACATTAATGGCTTGACTATTTAATATGATTTAATATGATGGCTGATGGAATAACGAGTAGGATAAAGTAGGACGAAGAGATCCAATCTGATTCCGTTTCCGCGAATCGAGAAGCGAGATTTGTGGAAGAATGAAGCAATCCGAGGAAAGTTTTCTCGATGGAAGATTGTAACTTGGAATACACGGAGAAGGAAACATTGCGCATAAACCTTCATCGGAACATACAAGTGCATTGAAATTTGCTTGAGATTTCTCAGAGGAACAATCCGATATCGATCCGAATCTTCCTGTTTCCGCGACCGGACGAAAAATTCAGTCACCTGAGCGAAGTTGTTTCATGGGCGATTCATTACGGAAGATCACACGAAATATTTTTGATGTCTCAAAAGTGTCACGAGAGAGTTAATCAGTTCACTAGTAATGACTCATGTATGAGCGAAAAAAGAAATGCCATAGCCGGTAATAACTCGTATATGAGCATCATGAGTAGCTCTGTCAATTTTCAACAGATGTGCATCAAATTTGATACACCCTTGTTTTGCGAATCGGTATTCGGAATCATATTTGAGAAAGTCATAATGGCGGATTCAATATGGCGGCGCTTGAACACTCAAATTTGTCAGTTGTTGAAAAATATTTGTTAAGATTGATATCCCCGTTTGATTTTATATGAAATTTTTAGAGTATTTTGGATGACGAACCTGAAATCGAAATTTGAAAATTAAAAATAGCAAATCCAATATGACGGCTCCAATTGGCTAATTTTATTATTCCGTTATGGAGAAAATCATATTCGATATCTTCATACTTCTTGGATTGTTAATGATGAGTCCAGTCGAAATTGCAAAGTCTAAAATAGCGAATCCAACATGGCGGCTTCTAATGACTAACAGTATTCCATTATGGATGCTCCTATTTTCATTCTTAAAAGATGATACATCTTGAAGGAAACCTCGTATTTCTTTGCCGAATAGCTCTGATGGATCGGAGCAAAAAAACATACCGAGTTTGATATGTATCTATAATGAAATATCAAAGCCGCTTGAAGCCACCATATTGGATCTGCCAATTTGTTTTGGGAATTTTTATTATGGATTCGTCATTAGCGACCCAAAGAAACCGCTATAGCTTCTAACGTAAAATACGAAATTATTCATACACTCTCACAAGTTTTGGCTCACAAAACTTAATTTTAGGCCCACCACTGTGAACTGGTTAAAACACAGAGAGCGAGAATTTCGTTTCTCGTCGAAACGCACAGCGTATTCTTTAAGCACGATAAAACCTATCTCGTTATGGTGAGATATACGCTTTTGTATGCGTAGGATCTATAAAGTCGACGTTTAGATGATAAATATACACATACGCATGTATATTATTGTACATTTCGACATTGATGAAAGTTAAAACGGTCTCTTCGCGACCTACATACATGTACATACGCCATATTGCGTATTACCTCCGCGTTCGGTTCTTGTTTAATCGTGCCATTAAAAACGCGCCAGGCGATTCAAGTTCAATTAACCGAGCGTATTGCTCGGGTCTTGCGGCCTCGCCGATTTCTCTTCAGGCGTTACAGAAACTTCTCATCTTACTTCCCACCGAGTCGCATTCTTTCGACATACTCCGCCTCTTGTTTCGCTCATTTTTGCGGTCATTGCAAATTCTTCGCGCAGAGCTTCCCTTCATATAACATTTTTTCGATTCAGAATCGCTCATCGATTTGTTTCTTTCTGGTTTCGTTCTCTCTCTCTCTCTCTCTCTCTCTCTCTCTCTCTCTCTCTCTCTCTCTCTCTCTCTCTCTCTCTCTCTCCCCCTCTCTCTCTCTCTCTCTCTCTCTCTCTCTCTCTCGCAGGTAAGTGCAGTTTATATGATTTCCGCTCATTATATATTTTCGCTTGTTATATCTTCCTTTTTTCTTTACAGAGATGCGCGTAAGTGTTAAGTGAAAACGAAGTTTAGAGACATGTTATCATCAGGCAGCTTTGTTTCTGATTAGTTGCGCACTCCCAGCCACGGTGGATGAATGATCTTTCGGTCGCAGAAAACGACATGAATTTCAAGATATTATCTCGATGTGCGAAAGAGTTTACTTTTCAGACGGCGCATATACTGCGTGTGGTTATCTTAGAGTTAAGAGTTTACGAAAATGCGCGTAATCATCACTATCGTGATCCTTTATCGAGACAAAACGTCCACTAGTGTTTGTAACTCTATGCTCTGCGTCGTTGCGAACGTGCGCCAGTCACGTAGCTCCGACTATCGCGAGTGTGATCTCGTCAAGGACTGTGATAAAATCGTAGTCTGCAGGAATAAAGTACAACGAACGATAACGAACTGTTAATAATTAGTATAACGACGGGTCAGCTGCTCAGAAGAATCAGAGAGTCTTCGCTTTGTACAATTGCTTTCGCGTCGTTTCTTGAGCGTAAATGTTATATAAAAAAAAAAATATATATATATATAGGGTGTCCCGTTTTAATATCCCACCCCAAATAACTCTTCAGTATTGAAGTTTCGAAGAAAATAATCTGAATAAAAGTTGTAGGGATTTAAATGAGCTACCTTATGATGACCTTGACTTTGACCTTGACCTCTATTTTCAAAGTCATTTGAAGGTCAACTTGCGTTTTTTAAATGGAAACCCTTATTTTTTATTACACTGTTTTTTTTCTACTAGTTAATTTGAACAACCTTTGTCTAAAACATTTTTTTATTTGTCTAATATTTTTTAAGAGATTTAAGGAAAACTTGATAACTTTTTCAATATTTAACTTACGATATCTCGCTAACTATTTGTCGGAAGAAAAAAATGGTACTAGACTTTCTTGCTTTATTTAATCTCAAGAATATATTGTTACAATAGCGCCCTGATTTTTGTTAATTTGATGATTTTGCAATTTCCAAAAATCAGTAAGTTAACAAAAGTCAAGGCGCTATTGTAACAATATATTCTTGAGACTAAATAAAGCAAGAAAGTCTAGCACCACTTTTTCTTCCGACAAATAGCGAGATATCGTAAGTTAAATATTGAAAAAGTTATCAAGTTTTCCTTAAATATCTAAAAAGATATTAGACAAATAAAAAAATGTTTTAGACAAAAGTTGTTCAAATTAACTAGTAGAAAGAAAGAAAGTGTAATAAAAAATAAAGGTTTCCATTTAAAAAATGCAAGTTGACCTTCAAATGATTTTGAAAATAGAGGTCAAGGTCAAAGTCAAGGTCATCATAAGGTAGCTCATTTAAATCCCTACAACTTTTATTCAGACTCATTTTCCTTGAAACTTCAATACTGAAAAGTTATTTGGGATGGGACATTAAAATGGGACACCCTGTATATATGATACAAAACCCCCGCGGTCGAAACTCGTTGTACGACAATCACACAATTGCCGTATAAATTATGACGAAGTTGCACATATTAAAAAAGAAAAAAAGATAAAAAGCAGCGATCGCGATCTCCCGAAATGAATTTGTTCGTCGGTAATATACAGGATGATTCAGAACAATTTGCTGTCCTTGAAATGACACGTTCTTGAACAAATTCTAAGACGATCTTTCCTCTTGCAAAATGTTATCTGAAGTTTAGTTTTTGAATTATAAAAATAAATAGTTTGCTTATCTTATAAGGTCGGGTACGCAGCGAGTAGGCAGGGACGGCACAACTCACCGTCAGGCGCCCTGCGTCTGACGGTGAGTTGTGCCGTCCCTGCCTAAGGGCGCTCTCATCAGGGCGCCTGATGCGAAGAATTGCTCGATGCACTGCAAACATAATTTTTATAACCTCCGTTAATGATCATATCAAGTGCGAGGAGGAAATCGACAACTCGCGTTTTTCTTCTTCATAAACGCGTATGATTGCATAGCAAAATGCAACAGTCGACGGCAATGTTATCCAGTATGGATAAAATATTTGATTAAACAAGCTGGAAGGTAAACTTTGAAAATACAAGCGAGAAAAATGAAAAATAAAAATGAGAAAGAGTGTTAATCATTGTTTAAAAAGCGTAAGATATTCTTACTTTTAGAAAACTGGTGAATTTGTATTTCTCTGTAAAGATTATTTATCTGAAATTTATTTATTTAAAATGACAACTTTTACCACACTTTGTTAGCACGCATTCGTTCCCTTAATATTGAAGAATTTTATTTTTAATTTTACATCGGCTCGATCGTACGTTGTAGACTTTCCTTCCTCCTTCTGGCGGGCAAAATTAAAGAAACAATGGTTAACACTCCGTCGGTCGTAATCTAACAGAAGTTATAAAAATGTTCATCAGAAGTTCATCAGAAGTTATAAAAATAAATAAGTTCATCGTATTAGGCGCTCAACGTAAACGCCTGGAGTTTGACGGTGAATTGTGCCGTCCCTGCTTATCTCCTACTCTCCCCTATAATAAGCAAACTACTTATGTTTAGAACTCAAAAATTAAATTTCGGATAACATTTTGCAAAAAGGAAAATCATCTTAGAATTTGTTCAAAAATATCAAGTCACTTCAAGAATAGCAAGTTGTTCTGAGTTACCCTGTATATGTTTCAAACCAAAACGATTAAATATGTAATTATATGAAATCATATATACAAGGTGGTTTTGGAAAATATAGGTTGGCAGTACGTAGTTACATTCTTCTCGTCGAGACAAGTAAAAAAATTTATATAAATACAATCCCTGAAACTTAGCTTAAAATTCAAGATGAAGAAATTTAATCAAGATAAAATTGCATTTCGATGTTAACGTAATACATGTAAGATAATGTTTATTTAAATGAATCTCGAAAATTAAAAAGGACGCTTGAAATGTCCACGTGAAGTAATACGATTCTGGATTAATCGCGTTATGAACTATCTTGTGCGTTCAAACACTCCTGGAGTGTTGCGCACTTCTTGATATCAATTACCTTTTGCAAGAGTTGTCAATCAGAAGCGAGTGAACGGCCGCTTCCAAGTGCCCACGATTAAAAGTCGAGTGGATTCAATAATTAATTTAAGTCAATATTATTGTATGTATATTCTACGTGAACTAATCGAAACTAATTCTCTTAATCCTGACTCGACATTAATCTTTAACTAAGCATCTTAGGCGCTATGTACATGGGAACTTTCTCCTTCGTCTTGATGAGGAGAGTATAGCTGTATACAATCAGTTCGCTCTTTTTAAAACATCCTGTAAAATCACTGTAAAATTATCTTCCCTCGGGTTTCAACTCACGACGCATTCGCGAAGCGAGGCTAAACGAAAAGCGAGAGAATCAGACTGACGAGTACGCGAATAAGTACGAATAGTGCGCGTAATTATCTGTACGAATGTGTAAACTACCTGTTTGTCGTTCGCGCGCTCTTAAACGTAGTTAGATGTTAATAAAGCGATATTCTCAACAAGCACCTGTTCTTGCTCAAACAAACTTCCAGGCGGCGACTTAACCGGCAATGAAATACCAACGATTCGTCCTGTCGACTCTTTGAGCAGCGCCGCGGGAAGCGGTCGTAGCTATGTTTCACTTCAGAATCGCGCTATCCCGACTAAGTCAGTCGAGTCGATCGGCGCGGAGAAACGCGCGAAACACAAAGCAAGTCGCTCTTTGATTATATAACGCTCGATGCGCTGCGAATTTCGGCGTATCTGTGTCATACAAAATTAGACACTCTTTGGCAGGCGACGAGCGGGCAGGAAGGCAGGGAGGGGGAGACGAAAGGTCTCCCGGTGTGCGAGTGGTGATGTGTGTACGTGTTTGTAGTTGAAAGTTAGCTTTTATTCGTCGTACCACCAATTTGTCAGCGATAATGTACAAAAGAAATTTCTTACACTGTGTGTATATAAAAACATTTTACAAAGAGACGACCGATGTACAAATATTGCGACACTTTGGTCGAGCGTCAGCTCGTGTCTTTTTTCTCAGCAATGTTTATCACATTAATCCGATAATCTCGATCACCGAGTTTCATTAACCATTGCCCAGCTTTGTTTACATCACGGCGCGTGGTCGTCATGTAAATATAAGTGGGTTCGGTTCATCTTGTTCGATGGTTTAGTCCAATACATTTGTTGAGTAAACATACGTAATACGCGTTGAAAGCTACTGGCAGTGTTTCACGTTGGCTACAGAAGTATCGCGACACTTCAAGTTTGAAGCGTTGTATGAGATCCTCGTGTATCCTGTACAATGTGCGACGTCCGTCACGAAAGACGAGAGAAGTTGTTAGGCATTGCGGGGAACCTTGATCTTGGAGAAACACCTTAAGCTGCCAAGTTCAATGGCTCCGTGTCGTTCGTCGCCATCGAACGTGCTCTTCTCGTAAAGCTAAGGCTCACGTCAAAGCCTCGTTACACAAAGAAAGACGAGAGAAGTTGTTAGACATATCGCGGGGATCTTGATCTTAGAAAAACACCTTGAGCTGCCAAGTTCAATGGTTCCGTGTCGTTTGTCGCCATCGAACGTGCTCCTCTCGTAAAGCTAAGGCTTTTATTATTATATGTTTAGGTCCTGTTAAATAGAATTGCGAGGCTTTGCGGTTTTTGACAAAGTCCGGCTCGTAGCTCATGCTTTCTCTCTTTCCCTCCCTCTCTCTCTCTCTCTCGCTTCACCACGGCGAGCTCGAAAATATCCCCGATACTTGAAGATAAAACGTATCTCAAGTATACTCATAAAGATGCTCATTAAGTAACACGTCGTATCGCGACGATGCAAGCGCGGCACGCAAATAGCTGCGATATATCATGCATCGTCGCTCGCTGTCGACGATCATTGCCGCTCGTTACTCAGATTCACTCCTTTCCCCGTCCATCTCTCCTTCAGCTCCACCTTGAGGCCGAGATCCCTCAGCGCGGCCTTCGCGTCATTCTCCAACTTGGGGCCATGCAGACGCATCGCGTTCTGCAACACGTCCTCGATGCCGTACACCACGAATTCCATGGACTCAGACTTGTTTCGCACCGACATGTTCCTGATCGCCCAGCAGGCCTGTCGCAGGACGTTCGCGTTCTTAGAGTAGGCCTTCATGGCATCCACGATCACCTGGGGCGCACCGCAGTCGTAGAATACGCCGGCGTTGGAAGTGCTCCGCAAGGACAACGCGGACACGCAACTCAGTCCTGCGTTCACGACGAACTCCGACGTCTGTTGGACATTATAAATCCCAATTCATTCGGGCATGTCAAATATTTATCTTTCTGCAGTAAACAGGTCTGTTTTGTTTACAAATCTTTTCAATTGAATTATCCAATTATCTTCTCCTCTTCTCTCACTCAATAGCATCTTTTCCCTGTGAGAACACTAATATAATTAAATATAATCTTATATATATACTAATTATATATATTATATTTTATAATATACAGGTTGCTAAATTTCAAACGTAACAGGTAAAAAATCTCGAAAACTATGAAAGATATTAAAAAAAGCTAAAACACATGTTCCATGATTTCGAAGGGGAAAGAGAATGGCATTATCAGTTTTTTATTTGGAGAGTTTTTCATTTGGAGATTTTATTTTCAAGGTCAATTGAAGGTTAACTTAATTTTTAAAAATAGAAAGCCCAATATTTTATTATATTTTCTTTTTCTACCAATTAATTTTAACAACTTTTGTCTGAAACATTTTTTTCTAAAACGTTCAGTTTTCAAGATATTTCGCTGTGCCGATACTTTTTATACACTCTGTGTATATATTTATAATTTTATTTAATTATATAATTATTAATAAAATAATCATTTCTCTCTGGCAGGTTGCATTTTCGCCTCTTGAGTGTACGATATAAAGTTGAAGAGCGAATTAGTTAAACAAAAAGAAAAGAGAGAAAAACAAGAAACCTAAGGAAGCTTCTCACGAAAGGATTTCATTGCGAAAAGGATTACCCGTTCCTGAGCTTACCTTCATTCGGCTAACAGCAGATATGATCAGAGGCGCGCATCCGGACGTCACGATGTGAGATTTCACGTTGTCGTTGCCAGCGAGTGCTTTCAGCAACTTCAAAGCTTGCCAATTCAATTTCTCGGATTCCGGGTAGTCGATCATTATGTCCTGAACGAATTTCAACCCGCCAGCGTCCTCGACTTCTTGGCAGAACTCGTTTCGGACGATCAGTGCGGCCAGCGTGATCATCAGATCGCCCACCACAGTCTTGTCCTTCTTAAATCCTGCGCACGCGAGACAAACAAGTTTTGCAACAATGTGATCCTCCTCCTGCTACGTCTCGATAAAAGAAGAAAAAAGACACGTGTTTCTACTTCCGCCACTTAATCGCGCGTTGTTCACTCGGATATTTAAGTATGATTTACGTGACAGCAATCCTGTGAGGACATCGAGGGCGCCCTTCGCGATGACCGTCGCGTGCTCGTGAGCCTTCCCATACTCGTGCCTGATGTCGTCGTCCAGGACCAAGGCTCTGATGACCGAACACGCGTCCTTGATCTCGGCCACGCTCGCATCTTGGCGCACTAATATCTTCTTCAGCTTCTCGAAGATGTTGGCGTTGAAGATCTTTTGCCTGTTCAGTTCGTGCTTTATGCAGCACTCTCGTATCCAACGTAACAGACACTGCACCGTCGCGGTGTCGTGATTCTTCTCCAAGATCCTGACAAGTAAAATCTCGTGAGGCACAGCCCGAGGCCGAAGACGGACGTTTGCAAAGTCAGGCAGCCGTTGAACCGGCTCCAGGTTGTTTCGTCTTTTTTTCTCCGACCGCGATCTTTTCACACATCAATACGTCTGATTTCTCGTAGGATAGATTTCTTATCGACGACAAATTCGTAAAGTAGAGCGAGAGGTGAAATTGTTGGGATAAATCAGTCTCCGGATTTGATTCGGACAAGAATGTCGTTCTTCAGGAATAACATTACGCGAATCGATTTTACGATCGCCGAAAGCGGCATCAGTTTTCTGCTGGACGTGCATCGTCCTGAAAAATCGTAAAATTCGAAGACGAGCGATTTCCCAGAAAAAGTTGTACGGAGACAAATGTCGAGGTAAGTCACGATGATCTCCAGATGTTTTTTCGTCTACCCTTCGCGGTGTCAGGTATGGTTTCAGAAAACCAATAGCTTTTATGGAATTTTAGACTCTTAACCCTCTTGCGGTTCTATTTACTGACAGAAATTAGCATCAAAATGGTTAAATTTTTTCTGCAGAGGAAAATATTTGCTTTCATGTTTTACAATAGTTTTCGAACGTGCTGATTTCAAATTTGAAGTTGCTGTTGCAAAATTCAAAATGGCGGATCAAAAGTGGCGAACCTGAAAGTAGTAAATCTTACCCCGAGTCAGACTCGGGTCTAACCATAAGCCGGTTAATATATTAGGAGTGTGATTTAGTTTTGAAGATTTTGCAAAGGATGACACTAATGTCAGTTTTGCAGAAGACATTCCAATCACAGTTATTGTTTCTCTTAATGCTTTAATATTAATCCGAGATATGTAGTCCTTTACTAACAATACACGCAGTAAAAGTCGTGTGAATACGATCTTAAAAATGGAGCTTCCTAAAGAGTATTTTCGACATACATTGCTTTTGGTTTTTAATCAGACGAAAACGGCGGCTGAACGTCATAGAATCCTGATAGAAATTTATGATGTTGCTCCGTCAATTGAGACGTATGAATATTGGTTTATTTAGACGATTCAAAAGTGGTGATTTCAATGTTGACGACAAAGATCGTTTTTTTCGTCGCGAAATCTATCTCTTGCCAGAGAGATGGGAAAAAGTTGTAGAAAACGAAGGAAAATATTTTGATTGATGCATTCGTTCATTATCTTGTTTAAGTAAATCGGTTTTTGAGAAAAAAAACCCTCAAAACTAAATCGTAATAGGTAATTTGACAAAATATTTAATAGATTTAAAAAAAGACATCGGGTCATTATGAGCCAGCCGGGTTAAGATTGTAATTAAAAGTGCACAGAGAGAACGATTTAGTTGAATCTAACAAATGCTTATTTGGAATAATCGAAATAAATTTTTTTATTGATCGAACAAAATTTTGTTTGACGCAAACAAAAACATTTCGTTGGAACTAAGCTGCAACAAAATATTTTTGTTGCGTCAAACAAAACTTCGTTCGATCAACCAAAAAATTTATTTGAACCATTCCAAATAAGCATTTGTTCAATTCAACTAAATCGTTCTCTCTGTGTGCATATCGAACAATCGTCTCGGTAGATCGAACTTCGACCTCACGACTCTTGAGGCCGCTTCTTCTGCCACTTTCCGTATTTCGATGCATTACTTTTTCCAGGACAATCCACGTCCAGCGATCCATCTAATAACCGGAGAACTACCGAGCGACGAGAAGCGCTTTCCCGCTTTCTCCTTCTTTTTGCATTTTTCGAGAAGAACTCGTCGCAAGATCTACGCTCGAAATTCGCCTCAGATGCGCGTTTCTGTTTCTTCCTGAAGTTTTACAGCAGGAATGCTCTTACTCGATCTGCAGGGCAACGCCGACGTCGTCCAGTAAGTCCGGATTGCCGGTCATCAACGACGTGATGGTCTTCAGCGTGGACTTGACTATCGCGTGGTTCTTGCGGCAGTCTTTCAAAAGATCGATCAGGATGTTGTAGCACCTCTGCTTGCCCGCGAACACCCGGTGCCCGATGTCCTTGTCCAACTCACCGCACAACTCCTGCAGCGTCTCGGGCACGAGCTCGTAGCTCTTGTCTCTCACGGCGAACGTCAATCGCTCCAAGCACGTTATTATCGGTTCGTACTTGTCGGAGAGGGCCAAGTCTCTCACGATGTTGCTCAGGTCTATCCCCTGCGCCAAACAAAGGCCGTCCGTTAATTATAGCGTAATGACGGTTGCGTAACGCCGAGCGAAACGTATCGCGTTTCGTCGTGCAATTTCAGCACCTTTTTTCCTTTTACAGCGAGCCTAACGACAATCCCGATGATGAATCCCGGAAGAATCGATGAAGATCGATCTATCGAGTGACTGCTCAAGCGAAGCCGCGCAAAGTGCTCCGAAAGTGAAAACGCCTTCGGGGAAGAAATGCGCGGCAAGTTTTGCTCTCGCGCGACATAAATGCGTCTGTAAAAAGTATGATTGCAGAAAGGTCCCGGGCTCTTTGTTTTTCTTTTTTATTCCCACGCAACCTCGAGCCTCGTTATCGTCCTTCAATCTCACTTTTCTCTCTCTCTCTCTCTCTTGTTGCGGCGATAAAGAAAATCCTCGGCGGCGCGCTGGCTCGCCGATGAGTCACGGCATTCGCGAGTGCAAGAAAGGAGAAGTGCGGAAGGAACTTTCTCATTGATCAAGGTCAAATGCATCCCAGGACGCGGTTTTAAGCTGAGGAACTTCCACAATGGCGATGGAGCCAAGCTACCCTGGCGGCAGCCGGATGTAAACTTAAAAATCGACTTTTCGGGTTAATGATAGGGCTTTCGCAGGCAAAGGATCCTTGAGGCTTTCGACGACCATCAAGGTCTCGAGCAAAGCTGTCGAACACGAGCTATTTCGACGCGGAAGGAAACTCTGTCAGACGCACGCATGGGCGAGATTTTTCAAAATCCCGCACGTGCTGAGAACCTTGCAAGGATCCGGCTGCAGGAGCAGCGACCAACGGCTCGCTAAAGCGGCCCGTCAAGCCGCAAAGAGGCAAAGTGACATTTTTCATTGATCAACAAGCGAAGCGAGTGAGCAGAGAAAAAATGCGACGATACCTGAGTCTCGAAGTGCCTGACGGCGTCGTCGATAGCCTCTTCGGCGGTCATGAGGAAGTCCTGCATGAACTCCCGGACGACCTCGTCGTAGGCCTCCTGGCTGATCGTCTTGCTCATGATAACAGCGTGACTACCTTCTCTCCTCTCCGGTGTCCCGATTCACTATATAAGGAGACGAACACTGCGAGCCGCGAGCAAGCGAGGAGAACGTACGCTGACTCGTCCATGTGACGAGCAGCAAAAAGAGCAGACCTGTCAACGCGGTCGCGTTCGAAAACGCATCACGGAATTTCTGTAGGTCGCCATAGACCATAGACATAAGAATATAGAGAAAGCCTCGGCCGCTCGCGTCGCTGAGCGAAAACGAGAGCGAGAAAGAGGGAAAGATATTCTCGCTCACGTCGCTGAGCGAACACGAGAGCGAGAAGGAGGGAATGATATCTCTCCGTCGCTCGGCGCGCCGACGATTGCCGAGCACGTGGTCCACATGGATAGACTGAGCCGGCTATGTGTGCGTGCGTGGTGGGGAAAATCAGAAAAGTGTCGTGGACATTGGCATCGTAGTTGATGTGCACGGTTGTGCAGAGGGCGCTTCACACTGGGCTCGGCTAAAAGTGGCCCGTGACATCTCTCCTTTTTCTCTCTGCCTGTACCTCGTACACTTTGTGCAGATAAATAGTTCCACTACGGAAAGAAATGAATCACCGCGATTGGTCGACTCAGCTTCTCGAGTATCCCGCTTGTGGCGCTGTTGCATTCGTATTTAGTTATGGCGCCGGTTACGGGTTGTGTAGTGTGCGAGAAACCGTCGTCCGTGACTTCTCTTGATTTTAACTCGTTGTAGTTGAGTCTCGTGCCTTAAATTGTTATCGGGAGTGCCGAGAGTAAGTTTCGCGCGTGTGTTATGACGGAATAACGTTTATTCCGCCGCGCGAAGTGAAGTGGGATGAATCGTCGGAATGCCGAGGAAAGTTCAACGCGCCAGCTGCATAAGGACAGCTCGGTTTTCGCGTCGCGGAACTTCGTTTTCGACTCGTCAGCCGAGTCTCGGCCGCGAATTATCGTTAAACATTGAGGTATGGCACAGCTTTCGTTAAATATTCGCTGAAAATGTACATTGTTCGTCGGGAGAGTTGAGTAAAGTCTCGGGAATTTTTTCTGTCATGGCCGACTTCTTGGAATATTTCAAACGGAACGGACAGTTTCGAACAGATTATTTTGATTGGTTAGTACGCCAGTGATACGTATCCACCGATATATGCACACATTGAAAATCGCGACCGTTGCATTGCAACGCTTAGTACGTGAATTCCAAAAGCCGACCGTGCGTATTTTCCGCGATGTTGAATTACCAAAGGCGAATATCGGCGTGTACTGTTTCGTCGAGAGTACCGAAAGCAAATTTCGTGCATTTGTCATGGCGAAGTATCATCAAGTAGTCGAAAATAAGTAATTAACGAAACCGGATCGTCGGGAGTGTTGTGTGAAATTACACACGTTTGTTGCTTAAGATTTGTGTTGTTATCAAGTGTTGTAAAAATATGGCCTGTTATTGTGCAAAGTTAAATTTAGTGTTTGTGTTGTGAAAAATATTAAATACCCGAGGATATATTTTGCAAGGAGGGACATCTGGAATCATCGAGGGGTAAGTTTATTTTATGTACATCACGCTGTAACAATTCAGAGTTACTTGTCTCGCGATATTGCGTTTTTTATCTTGCGATGAAAAAATTGATGAGGCTGATCATGGTTGTGAAACGAAACATAAAAATCTCATCTAAATATTTTGAAATAATACATTTAATGTTTATTGATATTTTCATACGTAATAGTTCATCACATTTTACATCTTAACCGCATTTTATTAATCCATTCTGAATGAACGAACGAAATATTACGTTCAACCCGAAAGCATCAATTTTTTCAACGAGTCTGCTCGCGGGTCTCTACGATTCTTAGAACTCATTGCCCGTGTAAATGCCTCGTCGTTTCTTGGAACTCACGCCGCCGCGCGTTTACCCAGACGACGTGTCGTAGCGAACCATATTTACTTCTCCAAATTTTTATTTACTTTCTACGCTATCCGAAAAGTTATATTAATCTGGATTTTAGGAAAATTAGTCATATTACCTTAAAATTAAATAGCATCATTTTTTTTTATTAGCGTAAATATTTCTATGACGTGTATATTGATCTATCATTTCTTTCTACATTAATATTTCAACATTTCGGACTTCATAATTCTGTAACGTTGGACTGATTTGGTATCTACGAATCATCGTTATTTCCGATTTTCGTTATTTTTTTCGTTATTTCCGTTCCTCATTAACGGACCTTGGTTTAATACACAGATGAGACGAAGATCTGCGGCCACGTTCACAATACTTTCTGTGTTTAAACTGCACCACGGGCAGAACAGAAAATCATGACATCAAAATGACGACAAAATAACCGAATTATGATGAAAAAATGACTTTTCCTCATCATTTTAATGTTATCATGATTTTCGGTTCTGCCTGGGACATTCCCGTTCTGCTCGAATTTTTATCTCGCAGCGAAGCGAGTCAAAAGTATTGACTTTTTTTGCGAAAGTAGAAGTCGACCGACCAGCGTTCCGTCGTGTGACGCTAGAGAATAGGATTTTATAATGTGAAGTTATACAGTGCTCTTGAAGATAATTCTGATTTAAAAATTATTCTATTATTATTCTAATTAAAAATGTTCTTTCGCCTGCTAATAGGTCATGCCGGTTGAAAAACTCCTTTTGGTCACGAATTCGGTATAAAAGAGCGCGGCTGATCCTTCGTCGAGTCGTATTACTTCGTTACGGACAGTGGCGGCTCATAGTGGAGAATTTTGTACTAGTAAAAATAACGGATCTGAGCACAGCGGATTTCATTCGGCCGACATTTCTTCCGCGCGAGCCCGTTCGTATCTTTGACTACGTGTACACAGCTTCTAACTACGACTTAAGGTTTGTTCGTTTTCGCTGCACTGCTGAACTAGTGCAATAAGTTAGAGTGAGAAAATCTATATTTGTCTCACTTTAACTTATTGCACCAGTTCAGCAGTGCAGCGAAAACGAACAGACCTTTAGTAACTACAGTAGTTAGTGCAGTCTCGAATTCGATTAGAGTATATTCTTAGATCTAAAAGAATATACCAATCGAATAAAAAAATTCACTAACTACGGTTGTTATTAATCCGGATTAAGGTCATTCTACAGTAAGTGTCGTAAGTTGTAAGCCGTAAGAATTGGCGAATCACAGTCGATTATTACAAAAATAATCGGCTATAATAGGTCAATTCTTACGGCTTACAACTTACGACACGTATTGTAGAATGACCTTTAACCTTGCTATGGGTGCTTCCGAAATGTCCAGAGTTGGGTCGAGTTGAGTTAGTTCCACTATAGTATATGTAACGGATACTATAGCGAAACTAACTCAACTCGACCCAACCCAAGACATTTCGGAAGCACCTCATGTAAACGTAGTTGTAGATCGCGTTCGTGACGAATCTCTGTCACGAGTGGCAGAGATGTGAATCTTGATTATTCGAGTGGTATTGCTCGATGGTCGCTTATCTTTTATCGCGACTTCGACGAAGGATAAATTAACTTTCCAAGCGGTGCGCGGATTTGAAAGCGGCAGGTCGAAAGATCTTTCCACGCCGAAGTAGTACGACCAAACAACAGGTCGGACGAGCTTCCATCCTCGAATAACGCTGTCGCGATTTTTCACGTAAATAGTCCAACGTGTCTTTTCAGAGACGAGAGAGAGAGAGAGAGAGAGAGAGAGTGAGAGAAATGAAAGCGCGGGTGGGGGTGAGGAGCGCGGCTGGACGAAATAAACGCAATGGCACTCGCGAGAAAGTAACGTTCTCGCGGCGCCATTATTGCCGCCGCGAACGGCGGCTCGCTCGCGCTCGCTCTCGATCGCTCGCAGTCGACCTCTTCGTTCGAGTGTAGCGATTTCAGCTGCCTAGGCTGGCCTAACCGTGTTCGAGTGTCGCGACACGGTCGACGATATTATTGTTGTTTCGCCTCCGTCATTCTTATTTCCTGCGACTCGACCGTGAATTCTCGCAGCGGCGGCCCAAGCGAGCACGAGGCTGGACTCTGCTGAAAGGTGGGAGGTACGCGGTCGTTTCCTTCGCAACGAGCGTTGTCGTAGCCGCGGACCTCTCTTGTGCCGGACCAAAGTGCCTGTTGTCCGAGCGAGACTCTCGGCGCCGAGGAGGCCTGCCCGCGAGACGAAGCGCATCCATTCACTTCCCCTCGCCTCCCGCTCGAGGAGCGCGACGCAGCGCGCGGGTAAGCATCTCCGCCGGAGAGCACAATCTCCTTATCAAGTTCCTGCGCTTGACACGCGAGCTGCCTTTGCTATCTTCTCCGAGGCGTGTAACACGTTGCAAGACTCGCGTGTATTCTCACTGGGCTCTTATCTGCGGGATGATATCTGTAGAAAAAATGTCTGTTGTTGAGAGTTGAAAGTCGAGTCCGGTGGCAGCTGATGATCTGATATTACTGAATCAGTGAGATTGGGTTCATTTGTTGTTATTATTATCAGTAGTAGCCAGTTGTCTCATACTCAAATGTGATTTTGCATCTTGCAGAGACCACAACCGTAGGCTTGCTACGATACCTTGGATATGAAACATAGGAATAGCGAAAGGAAAGAAGAGGTATGCTCAAACAGTGGATGTCGGCGGAAGAAATGCATAGGGGAATGATAGAATCATGATGAATCGTGTTGGCACACACGGAAAATTATCGTAGCATTCATATCACGTCGTCATTGAGGGGATTGAATGTATCCGGGGTACTGACATCTCTGGAACAACACTGTCATCGTTGTCATAGTCGTCGTCGTCGTCGTCGTCGCCGTCGTCGTCGCCGTCGTCGTCGCCGCCGTCGTCGTCGCCGTCGCCGTCGCCGTCGCCGTCGCCGTCGCCGTCGTCGTCGTCGTCGTCGTCGTCGTCGTCGTCGTCGTCGTCGTCGTCGTCGTTGTCGTCGTCGTCGTCGTCGTCATTGTCGCACAACGTCTTACATATTTTATCTACAGCGATAGGAATAATTTTTAAAGAAGGTCTCCATTGTATAAGGCTATATGCGAGTAGTTTTTTTAACAGAGAGTAAACCATTATTTTTAATAACCGTAAACCAACGTACGAGGATCAAGCAACGTGCCCGGCAGGAAGAAGATAAACACTATATCGTAGATCGAGCGATGATCGGCTTTCCTAAATAATGCTCAAACAGCCGCAGGTAATCTTAAA